AATCGCACAAAAATCTGAACAAAGCTTGCAATTTTGAAGAAGATCCCTTAAAGTCCCCGATAAATCGGGCTACGTATACCGCCGTGTTTACATTAGGGGATTAGAAGAGTTTATTTTTTATTTAGGTATGCAAGCTACGTATATCAATATTAGGCCTTCATTCATGTACTCGTGTGCATGTAATCAGCATGCCCTTCAATATTATGTAAACCAGGCTATTCAAGTACTGTATAATGTACACTATTTATGTGTGTACTACATACAATACAATTCCCTGGGAAACAAAACACAAATACTTTTTATATGTTCAAAATGAGCCATTTGATTGATGCAAACACTAAATAGCTTCATAAATAACATCTACAAAGTATATCTAATAGTAATTTTCAATTTCAATGGTAAAACTTCCCTGGTTACGATTATATGGGAAATCATCACGAGACGAAGATCGTTCGCCTTCCTGGCTTACCTCTGAATCGTGTACCTGGTAATCTCTTTATATAGTTTAGCGAGAGCGGTGCGCCTGCGCAGTTTTAAACTTTGGCGCACACTTTAAGTATTAAAACTTTTACAGTTATTCAAAGGAACATTGCTCATATTTATCACGTAAAACTTTTGCAATTTTGTCGGTAAATTGACAAGAACATGTTACGCCGTGATGTACAGTATCTGACGTCGTATCATTGTCTTATTGGGGCTTTTCGACTTTATAACAAACCCGATTTCAATCATGAATTACGTTAGTTTCGCGTGCACACATTGAATAGACGTTGTCATTACCGGATGCCCAAACGTGTCAGGAACACTGAGTGGCTTCACGAAAAAATAAGCAGCATTAATAAGCCACCTTAATTTACATGATGCAACGTGTAACATTTTGATTATTTATCATAATTCAAGTTATCCCAATTTTCGACGAAACGTCCACTGAAGTGTAAATTGTTACGTCTTACAATGTCATATATGTTCAATGTATGTACAATGTTTATATGTTTTATATGAATAAAGGCGTAAATAGATACTTACTATGAAACTCTGCGATAAAATGCAGAACTACTTTATAATATGTAAATTTTAAAGCTGTTTTTGTTTTATAAATTTGTAAATCTTCTTATAAGGAGGAAATAAAGATACAATACAATACAATATATTCGTATTTTTCGTTTTTTGGGTACCCGGTTTTTTCGACCGGGTAACAAGTTTGAACCCAGCATGGAAGATTTACTACCCGGTACCCGGTTTTTTCTACAAACCCGGCACATATTGACCAAATATGAATAAGATTGGTCGGTTATTTTCATAATTAGATATGTCTGTGAAAAACTTTTGAACAACCCGTGTATATGCATTTTGGGCATATATCTATCAAAATTATTGATAAGCTGGGAAGTTGCATTATTGTACAAAGCATGGTTATGTCACGCTCACCCAGATCCACAACACATACAAGTCGAGACCTTTCATATGATACCAAATGTGACAAGTTGCACGGGGGGTGCAGCACTTAGCTTTTTCCACCTATTTTAACCACCTATTCCTATTGGGGAATACTATAGTCTAGACCAACAAATCTGATGGTATAACTCCATGTAGGTTGCATATATAATTTCAGAATTTTGACATTTCGTGGTGTTAATTTGTTAATTCTGAGGATATCTGATGTATTTTTAGTCCATAACATTCGTAAGGCATTCGATAGTGTATGGATTAACGGACTTTTTCATAAGCTGTATAACAACATTGGTGTCCGTGGCAAATTATGGCGCATCCTTTTTGACTCTTATAACACATATAAGTGCAAAGTGCGTGTAGGGGAACATTTTTCGGACACTTTCGACGTTCGACGGGGAGTCCATCAGGGGGGCGTATATAGTATGCTCCTGTACCAGCTGTACAACGCTGACCTCATAGAAGAATTAATAGACCTACGTATTGGTGCTAAGATTAACGACATTGATGTAACTTGTCCGGTGTACGCTGATGATATGACAATTATGACCACCGACAAAATCAGTATGAATATTTTATTAAATGCAGTGTTCAATCATAGTCTCAAGTGGAGATATGAAATTCACCCAGGTAAATGCAAAACGTTAACTTTTGGGAAGAAAAGAGGCGATCAATTTACGAATGTCGTGATTAATGGGATTCCTGTGCAGACGACAAATAGCACTGTACATCTTGGATTACCGTTATCAAACAACTCAATTTCCCAGTACGTTGATGAGAGTATTAACAAGGGTCTCCGTAAATACAATGCTCTCCAAGGATTGGGAGCTGACGTCGGTGGAATGCGCCCTTTGACATCTGCAAAATTATATGAAACATTTGCAATTCCTTCCATGACATACGGCTCTAATGTAATTCCGTATTCGTCAAATAACATATCACAGATGGAAACTGCACAGCGTAAGGTAGGCAGGAGGATTCAATCACTCCCTGCTTTTGCAGAGTGCCCCGTGGCTTACGAACCCCTCGGTTGGTGGGGAATGGAATACAGAGTTGACATCTCAAAATTAATGTTTATATGGATGCTCTTAAACCTGCCAATGGCTAATATATACAAACGGGTGATGATTTTTAGAATGACAGTTATGGAATTTAAAATTGCCCGTATACGAATGACCTCTCCAATTGCACAGATGTGGTGTACAGCTTTAAAATACGACCTAATTGAAAATGTAAAACTTATGCTTAACGGTCAACATATCCCAAAGGCTGCTTGGAAACGTTTGATCTGTAGTCGTGTGAAAGACCTTCAGGAGACAATTTTCAGGATTAGGTGCATGTTACATCCAGGCCTTTCTCATTTTCTAACTGTCCATAAATGTAAAACACCAAACATATGGTGGATCTTAGCTCAAGAGTTTCCAAATAGGTTAAACAGTTTTAAAGCCGTCGTCAAATTATTGACGGGTCAATTCAATTTGAACTCTTGTAAGAAATGGAATAGATCAAATTATAATCTACAGTGTACTCTATGTGGTAAAAAGGAACCTGAAACAATGGAACATTTCCTGTTTCAATGTGATGCATTCAGCTTCGAGCGTTTGCAAATGAATAATTTATATCATGGAACATTTGACAACGATTATAATATGAGCAATGAGTTACGTGTAAAACAAATATTTGGTGAAAGTACAACCGAAATTCAGTTAAAAACAGCAGACATAATTCTGGCTATGCAAATCAAAAGAAATTCGTTGTTGGTATGACAACTCTATTTTGGTCCTGAGCTATCGACCTTGGGGAAGATGGCATCGGTATCTATAGAGGTTTCATCTTAACTTGGGATATACATTTCTTCACTATTTTAAATATGTGTGTTTTTATTCATTATTTCAATTTGTAACTTTATAATTGTAACTCTCTAGTCATTAGAGGTAAATAAATATACAATACAATACAATACAACACAATATTTTTCATAAATAACAAATCAACAGTTTTTCTGGAAAGTTACGAATTCACAATAAAACAACGGTGTATCTTTTAGAATCAACATCTTCTAATGAAGTGTATTTTTTAAATTTAAATCTCAAATAAAATAAGATTTTTGTCAAAATCTACGTGATTCATCATTTAACAAATCCACAATGACTCAGCGGTGTATCTTTTAAAATCAATACAGTATGATGAAGTATAGTTTTAAATTTTAAATCTCAAATAAAATCAGATTGGTGTCAAAATGAAATGGATAACAATACGTATAGGACAACATTTTATCGATCGTGATTCACGTGAACTAATCGGTGACAAAGAAATAAATGCCAACTTGACATTTGCAGATGATCTCCCAACATCATTCATGGTAATACAAATCCTCCTATCTGGACCTAAAAAGCCACAATAATCTAAAAAGCTAAATGAACAAGAATATACTTAAGATAACACGGCGATTCTTCTGCGAAAACCATTCGACATCACTGGAAGGTGCTGTGCATTTTACACGATGGCTATTGTTTTATTAGTCGGGAAACCACAATTGAGTCTTCGATAGCTGTCTACGACATTTCTCAAAACAACCCTAAGGAGAGTAGTAATGTGTAAGTTTAACACTATGTTAAAACCTTGGATAAACCTAGGGTAAAATATTTTTTACTATTTCCAAAGATTGTATTCAACTTTGAATTCATTATAATTTTCTTGTTCAAAAGAGTTTATTCGGGTGTCAGCAGCAGACGTATTCAGACTATACTATTTACATTTCATAAAAGCAATATAAATGTAAAATAAGTAAAAACATCATGCAATCTTGAATAGTGAATGTAATTAACATAATTTTTGGGATGTTTAATATTCGTGTAAACACACGTTCACAAGTCAATCGTTCCCATTAACTCGTTTCTTAAAATTACAGGTACATTGAAGCAGTGTCTTGTAATATTTTAATTTATTTATGTCTAGAAAAAAATTATTGATTTAATTTATTCTATATTGTCGCTTTAATTTGACATTGTCATAATAATTTATCGATGTAAAATATCTCTGTGTCACCCCAAGCCAAGGGACTTGAACGTCTGTATTTCACTCTGCTAGCGCATCGTGAAATACAACCTTCTCGGGAAGAATATTTTCTGTATTTCACTCGAATCATTGAATAACTTATAATATTCCATTGTTTACTCTCCTTTGAAACACTAACAAAACAAACAATGTACACCAACGTAATATTGATTTATACTGTATCAACTTCATTTCCACTTTAAATTGACAATTAAATTTATTTTACACATTTGCATGTTCTTGTATATAACACGGGTGTTAAAACACGAATATACCATGAGCACATGCTTTGAGGATCCGCGTTGTTTGAACCTACCGCCGAGCACACTTATACATTAAGACCCGTTACACAGTCATGATACCGCAGAGCAAGCTCATTGCATCATCGGGTCTGCTTTACCCCCGTGATATAGCGTCTAATTGAAAGCCCATGGTCATACATACAATATTGCTTTACATTTATGTACTTGATTTCCATTTCAGGTCCTATGAATAAGCCACGTTCATACATTTAAACGGGTTTCTATTTATACTTCAATTTATACTGTACCTTTTATGCGTGCTACGATTCAATAATCCCCGAAGGGCGGTCCTATTTCAATAAAATAATAGGACACGAACTGTATGGGCGATAATAAGGACAACTTATAAACTATAAACAGGTAAGATTGACATTTTAGGCTCTATCCAGATACAGAATTGATAAATTAATGACTATGGTCTGATAGCAAATGGTAACCCCGGACGAGGAGTCTACTAGGCCCGTCCCGAGTTACACAGATAACTCATGATTTGATTCTAAATAGTTCAAAAAGTTTTTACACACAGTCAGCCATTGTTACATTTGTGATTTGATGAATCAGAGAGAACATGATGTACATTACGATTTCTAGAATCCTGCTATATAACAATGGGGTTAATAGATTTATCTCAACAGGTCTCTCCAAGTCAAACCTTACAATAATGACTCAATGCCATACACAACTGTTATACAACAAACTTTGTATTTGGCGAGCAACTATGAAAACAAACTAGAGAGGCCAGAGCTATATTGAGTGATATGAACACCTAGATTTACTTGTGTATTTGGTTAAGGTATTTTGTCCAAGGTATTTACCAAGTCATAGTAAAGTCGCTTGGCTAATAGCCTTAAAATGGCGTAAATTTTTTCCTACAGTATCAAACTCCCGGAGTCATTCTTACCTCAAAGAATTACAATGTTATCGCTTGTTCAATCCAGAGTCATGCAGTGTCATGGTTTGTTCAATCCAAAGTCATGCAGTGTCATGGTTTGTTTAATCCAGAGTCATGCAGTGTCACGGTTTGTTCAATCCAGAGTCTAGCAGTTTCATGGTTTGTTCAATCCAGAGTCTTGCAGTGTCATGGTTTGTTCAATCCATAGTCTTGAAGTGTCATGGTTTGTTCAATTCAGAGTCATGCAGTGTCATGGTTTGTTAAATCCAGGGTCTTGCAGTGTCATGGTTTGTTCAATCCATAGTCTTGCAGTGTCATGGTTTGTTCAATCCAGAGTCATGCAGTGTCATGGTTTGTTCAATTCAGGGTCATGCAGTGTCATGGTTTGTTCAATTCTGGGTCATACAGTGTCATGGTTTGTTCAATTCAGAGTCTTGCAGTGTCATGGTTTGTTCAATCCATAGTCATGCAGTGTCATGGTTTGTTCAATTCAGGGTCATGCAGTGTCATGGTTTGTTCAATTCTGGGTCATACAGTGTCATGGTTTGTTCAATTCAGGGTCATACAGTGTCAGGGTTTGTTCAATTTAGAGTCATACAGTGTCATGGTTTGTTCAATTCAGAGTCATACAGTGTCATGTTTGGTTTGATTTAGATTAATACAGTGTCGTGGTTTGTTTAGTTCAGGATTATACAGTGTCATAGTTTGTTTAATTCAGAGTCATAGTTTGTTCAATTCAAGATATCACTGGCAGCGTCTAAATTTCTATACGTCTATATGTCTTTATGATATGGATAGAAGAACGCCTTGCAGATTCATCGTTGGTTTAATCTCAAACATTCCATTCTTGGATAAAGGTCTGCCATATTTGGTTCAAGGTCATAAATTGAAATCCATATATTACAGTGTACATCTATAATTGCTATGTTAACATTCAGAACTTATATTTTCAGAATTTGCGATGTTTGATAACGACCACGGCTAGTTCTATTATATTCCAAACGTACAAGATATGCTACCTCCACTCTCCGACATGCCGTTTAAGTTCAGATTGAGGGCAGTCCTGATTCTCGTTGTGGTCGTCATGATCACTCAGATATATTTCTTCCAAGGGGCTAATGACACTCGTAGAGGCTACAAGAAAGACCCGATACGTCCACAAAGAACTAAACGTATTGAGGTTAAACAAAAGGAGGTATTCAGAGATGTTGTTACAGTGAAAAGTCCACATTCTGTGGTAACAGGCTGGGACCTACCTGCTCTAAACTACAGCCAGAAATTGAAGATCATTGAGACAATAAAAACCAAAGATACTGCATCTATAGAAGGTAATGGTGCAAATAAAGCAAAGAAGGATCTGAATCAAATAGTGAAAGATATTGATAAGAAGATGAAGATACATATGCATGTGAAAGACTACGATGATAAAGAGAGTAAAGTGATGGAAGATAGCAAACAAACGGGTATTATTAAAAAAGGTGGATATGAAACTCAAGACAAACCAAAGTATGAGCTCCGTCATCAGAAAAATTTAACAGTGATTGAGTATGTGCCCTCAATTGCCCCTGTAACTGCGGTGAACTGTGCCGCTATTGCTAAACAGGACGCTGGGGAGACTGCCAAGGCGAAAGAATACATGAAATCTCATCCAAAGATTCCTGTTCCAAATGAACAATTTGTAAACATGACCAAAGATTGCTCAAAATTTAAAAAAGATCGAGGTTATGTTCTGTCTCCATTATCAAAAACTGAGAAGGATTTCCCTCTTGCGTTTAGTATTGCTGTATACAAGGACTTAGAACAAATGGAGCGCCTACTCCGAGCGATATATATGCCTCAAAACTATTACTGCATCCACGTTGATAAGAAGGCTTCTCCTGTTATCCATAACTCAGTTCAATCCATCGCTAAATGCTTTGATAATGTCTTCATCGCTTCTCATCTTGATGATATCATCTGGGGCGGCTATTCTGTCTTACTCCCTGCCATTAACTGTATGAAGGACTTGGTGAAATATTACAGGAGAAGATGGTTGTATTTTATCAATCTCACAGCTCAGGAATTCCCACTTAAAACAAACTATGAGATTGTTAGGATACTACAAGCACTTAATGGAAATAATGAGATATTTGGTTCAGTAAAGAAGTAAGTCAAAACATTGTCTTAGATATCTAGGTGATTGAAACTTAGTTACCCTTTGTGTCTTGTCCATAACGATTAATTTGTACCTCATAATCCATAAATGAAACTGGACATTTTCTAGTACATGTAGAAATGAGACTCATTAATCCACCATCCATTCGATGGTTCTGAATTCGATACTATTTTTCTAAGGTTCTGTGGATCTAGACGGAGGACGTGATTGTTATTCGAGTGAATTTGTCTAATTGCGTGATGGTTTGTTTCAGCCGAGAACCTTGGAGAACAGACTGGGTTTGGGACATCCATTACAACGCTACTGTCAAGGATGTCGTCTTCCAGCGTCTCCCTATACGTCACAGTCCACCGCCATTCAACCTCATTATTCATAAAGGCTCCTTACATGGTGCATTCACTAGAAACTTCGTCCAGTTTATGATGGAGACGGACGTGGGCCAACAGTTCTCTGAATGGTGCAAGGATACAGCCAGGGCCTCTGAGCATTATTGGAATACGCTGAACTTTAATACACATATCGCTGTCCCTGGCGGATTCAATGGTGAGAGTATAGATGATGATGATGATTTTCATTAGTTCAATAGGACACTCCTCTGGTTCTTTCCTACCAGTGTCATCGTGTTGTCAAGTGAATTTAGTCGACCTCGGTCTGTTCCTTCTTCGTGAATGGTGTGAGGAGGGGTATCATTTTTGTACATTTTCTTTGTCATGGATAGTTGAGATTGTTTCCTCATGACCTGTTGCTCTCTATAAAATGTCCATTTTCTACATTTTCTTTCTATGAATGTCATTGAATGGTCAACCAAACGGTGTTGGTCATGGCCACTTTTGTTTTAGTCTTAACGTCACTATTTAATCACACTTCACACAATTCATGTTTTTTTTTCAGGTCCAGATGAAGAAAAGGAGTACCATTACTGGCACTCCATTATTCGTGCTAAACACTGGAAGGGTTATCTAGATCGGGTATGTTCGGGAAAGTTCGTGAGAGGAATTTGTGTCTTCGGAGTGGGTGACTTGCCTTGGTTGACTACAACGAATAAACTGTTTGCAAATAAATTTTTATTGGAATATGAACATTTATCATTTGATTGTCTAGAAGAATTCCATAGAAACAAAACAAAAGTTACTTATAAGCAACCATTTGATGATAGTTTTTACAGGAGTCTACCAACAGCAAAATATGGACGTGGTAATGGTTTGACTTAAAACAATTTATTTGGACTTTTGTTTTACTAAAGTGATTCCAGTTTATCAGACATCAGCAGCAACGTTGTTCCAACGATTACCAAACCTTGTATGACACGTCTTGAGGGTCTGAGGAACAGCTTCAAACATCATTGGGCTGGGTTTATAGTCAGACCAACGCCCCAGTTTAGAGCATGGGATTTGCATAAAACGTTAGAGGGTACAGTTAGGCCAGAGTCACATTTGTGCTTCAAGGTCACTGAAGGCCAATTAGCAGTGTCAAAATATGGAGGTTTTAGAAAGGTATAGGTTGATTATAAAGCCTTGACATCCTCATTAAAATAATACATAAATATAGACTATTTAAAGGTCGGTGTCTCTGTCATGTTAAATGTCAATACTAGTATATACGTTTTGTATTAAAGTACTCAGCGATCATGGACTCAAGATCACATGATAGGTAAAACTATTATTTTTAGTGTATTTGAAATGTGAAGGGTACAAATAAAACCATGTAATTTTAATTTAGTGATTTTGTTCTTTGTTTTGTTCTATTTGAAGACTGGATCTACGCATTGTTGCATCTGAAGTGCCCTGAAAAATTATTCCCATCTGCAAATGTCTGTTGCATTTATAAGACCCGATTGCCCAAACCTCCTTGACCATATTTGAAGGGGGAATACCATTTGCATTCGTTCGACTTCGCTTCTTAAGAGAGCTTTGTCTTCAGTTTATAAATAGACTTTGTGGGTATAGGGGGGAAGGAACAGCATAAATGTACTGTGAGATTCTTAATGTTGACCCTCTTATTTCCATAGAGTAACTGAACCATATAATACTATTACCAATCAGGATCGAGGGTAATATATTTTACTATTTGTGAGCCGTATGGGCAAATTTACGAGAATTGATATTTTCAAATATAGTCAAAGTCTGTTATTCTACCAAAGCCTGCGCCATGTGAGTTAATATCAACGACATTTAACCTGTGCTATTTGTCAACACAACTGGCTATCATGACCATGCGATATATACTGAAAATATTGCTTATTAATTCTTAAATATTTGTTAATATAAACTCAGACACCATAAAAAATAATGTATCATGTGCTTCGATGATTTCCAACTTGTTAATAAAGGATGTTTGCAACCAACTTTCAAAAGGGTATTGTTTGATATTTGATGCTCATAAAATATAATACATTTTATTATGTCCGTATAATTTGTATTCTCCAACACAATGCTCAAATAAACGTTGTCGATATATTGTTGATGGATAATTTGTTGAAAGCTTCGCCAGAAAGTGCCCTTAGGGGTTGCCTTTTAAATGACAGACAACGAAAACATCAGACGAAATATTGCTATTTTTGTGGTGAATTTAGGTTTTGCTGTCCAATATTTTGTATTCTCTAAACAGTAAAATCTCAGCTACATGTATAAACCAATACAAGTTCAAATGATTATTTTGAGAAATGAAACTAATCCAATGTAGTATTTAAATGATTGTTTTATAAATTCTCAGTTATATCTAGTTTCATAGTAAATTGAATATGTCGAGCACATTGGAGGATACAAATCATATGGACATAATAAAACTTGTTCTTTTCGTGTCAAGCAAATCCCTTTTGAGAGCTGGTTAAAACATACTTTATTAACAAGTTGGAAATTATTGGAGCAAATGATACATTATTTGAGAATGTTGTCTGAGTTTGCAGTAGCTAACTTTGATTTTGGTCTAAAAAATCATAATTAAAGCTGTTTTTCAGAATCGATAAGCAATATTTTCAATGTACGTCATGATTATAACCAGTTGTGTTAAACAATATCGTTGATGTTTCCACACATGGCACAGGCTTCGGTAGAATAACAGAATGTGACTATATATGAAAATATCAATTAACGTAAAGCCCATATATAAAATGTAATGAGTAATCACTATGATATGAGGCCTATTTGTCTCCTGTTCTGTTATATGCGGAATGTAATTTGGAATAAATATCACTTCTCTCCCATAAACATACTCTCCCCCATAGCCATACATACATTTGAGACGCGTTAGATGGTCACAAAATTATGAATCGAAATAGATAATAAATATTTTGCCGAAATCGAAATTATCCGAATTGATAGAAAGCTAGGCCTATGTAAATGATAGGAATTACAAATACCTCAGAAATATTGAATATAGCCTAGCTATAGAGTTATTTGTAACATATGGTGGAGCTGCTCAAATCCGATGTTCAAAATTATCCCATTTGCCAAAGAATGTAAGATCCAATCTCGCCTTTTATCTATGAACATAATGCACAAAACACAAGCGTTTTTGTAGGCTAAGCAATTATTTTCGACTTTCTGAGAGGAAATATACATTTGGAAAGCTCAGTTAAACTTTTATTTTATCAAAATTACCCACTGGCGGATCTGGGGAGGGGGGGGGGCTGCCCCCCCCCCCTCCATTGGTGGGCCCAGAAAAAAGGTCTTAAGGGCCCAAAAAGTGGGCTTTTGGTCATTACTGGGCCTTTTTAGGCCTTATTTTCTAATTTCAGGCCAAATTCTGAAGAAAATGGGCCTCAAAATTTCTTAATTTTGGCCCACTTTTGGTTTTTTGCGGAAGTTTTTTACTCTGACCTAAAATTTGCCCCCCCCCCCCTTGTTGGTTCCCAGATCCGCCCCCTGGTACCTCATATCACTTTCAGTATTCGTTGAGTACAATCAGCGTTGAGTACAATCAATGAATGTCTCTTCTTTACAAAGATGATAATTCATGGCAATGTACTGATAATTTGCAATTTGAACAATTTCATTCCGATCTAGTTTAAAAAGTTCCATTGCGTAACATCAACTATCGGTTTATGGTTCATTTGTAATGGGGAGCTATTAGGTGAGTTTCCAGTAAGATGGAAAGCCAGAGAGCCGCACTGACATGTATTTGACACATTTTTGAAAGATGGCCTTGTTCCATCAATTATCTGGGGGCGAATCTGCAATGTTCCTCCAGTGTATAATCGGTTAAAATGTCACTTTAAAAAAGATGATACTATCAATAAACATACTCGGATGGGCAACGCGCTGTTCAAAAAAGAAATACATCTAAATGTATTATGAATGACGAAATGAACGGATGAAACTGCCCGATGCTCAGTTTATTGAAATACCCACAATGCATTGTGAATCCAAGATGTCAGCGCCCAGGCAAAATTGTTTGATTGTTTTGAGTTCTGCAAAAGAAGGTATTGTAGCAAATATCCTGGTGTGTCTGATCTATAGTTTAATTTATGATATGTAAAAGCACTCAATAAACAGTTTGTGTGTGAAACAAACCTCTGATTATAAAAAATAGTCTTGAATTCAAAAAATATTCTTCACAAAAAATGACAGAACTGAGAACGCGCCTACTTTTGTGTTTACAGGTGTGTCTGCAGCTTCCTTCATTCAGGCCTTCACCCTGACACACACTACATTCACGGTCCAGCTAGCAACACCAGGGGTGAGTACTGGGCACCTTCATAAACTTTGGACCCCTTGGGTTATTTAGTCTTTTGATAGATCATGGGGTGGTAGAGCCCATGGATAGATCATGGGCTTTCAAATATAGAATTGAAAGCCCATGGATAGATCTAGCTAAAATGCATGTATTGTGAAACTCTTCCTCGGTGGAAAAGGTGGGGATGTATAGTTATCCCATGGCAGGACTCCTGGCATGGGATAAGTGTATGGTATAGTGTGGACTGTTAAAGATACATTGTGCCATAGGTTTCTCTCCCAGACAATAATTATAATTTGCTTATGTAACATCAAACATGCATGTACTTTGTAGGTATATCCATGCGCTTTCAAGAGAAAGTTCAAAGCCCATGGTATACATGTATCTTAGACCAACTTACGCCAAGTTACGGGTATGATATTACCATATTACACCAAGTTATGGATATGATATTGCCGATATACTGAGAAAATCAACAGAACAACAAACTGTCGGGACTGAACACAACTGAGTTCAGCAATCGATGGAAATCCCAGTCAAATGACACGCAGGAAACTGTTGGCAAGTGCCATGAATAAGGCAGCCAATTACATTCAGAGCCATTTTTCAACTTCTTTTTGAATTGGCATTTATGGAGTTACCTTGGTCACATGACCATAATGTTAAACAAATGTAACGACTAATCAGATAACTAATTGTAATAATTTTCCTGGAATATTGAAATTTCATACTGAATTAATTTCCACGAAAATGTTTGACTGGTCAGTACAATCCCAAAAATCACCAAATAAAGTGGGGGAATCTGGGACCTCTTTGTTGGTACGTACATGTAGCTAGGTAAATATGTGGTATGACTCAATATGCAAAAAAGTCCAGAGGGGTCTTGATTGTGCTTCGTATGGCAACAGGCCTCTTTTTATTTAATTAAGTCCAGAGGGGTCTTGATTGTGCTTCGTATGGCAATAGGCCTCTTTTTAATTAAAGGGACAAAGTGCTGAAATGAAGTCTCACTTTTGATCTTCATAGTATTTCCAATGGATAAATAAGTACCTGATCTTTCATTTGACACCAAAAATAGACCAAACAGACCACATCAGACCTGACACTAGATCATGAGAAAATATTTTTGATCTATCAATTTATATGTGTCAAGTTTTTAGCAATGCCATAGAAAGATGGCATTGTTGTTCGCATTGATTATCCATCCATTTTTGATAGGATTTTCAAGCATACACCATCTTTTAATCCAAGAGTTATTTAAAACATACATTTTGTGAAAAGTGGTAATTCACTTTTTTCAATCTCTGAACTTCAAATGCCGTTTTCTACGCGAATATTTTTTTTTTCACTTCAGTATTATCCCAAATTAAAGTTTTAATCATATTTGATTGACTGTGTGAGTGACATGTCCCAAATAATATTTTGTCCTTTTTCCTTCAAAAATAGGCGCATTGCCTGTTTAATTAGAGTCTACTAAAAGATAATCGTACATGAACATGTAGTTGTAACTTTTTTCATTTCTATGATCAACATAGTAATTAGAAAAGCCTTACCCATGCTGTAGCATCAGACTGGCTGCATTATCCCCGCATAGTTGATGTACAATCAATACATGTATGGTCCCACTGCAACTGCTTCGTGTCTGCCTTGTTTTTTGTCAATAACCTGTAGCCACAATATAGCCTAGAATGCTGCCAGGCGACTGCATTATCACTTCAAAGGGAGTATGGCAACTGCAGGTTTTACACATATATGTATGTATCTGCAAATTTAAATACATCATAGGACTGGCATAGCGTAGCATATGTGACTTCCATAGTATGTGATGATGGAAATTTCATGGCAGCCCTAGGATTGTTATTGGCCAAATTAATATTAGACCATACAGTGGCTGTAGCTGATGTGACTGACCCATAACATGTTAGGGAGGGTATAACTTTTTATGGATATTTTTGCAGGGCAAAGCAGTTGATTATGTAAACCAGGATGACAACAGTAGGCGCTGGTTGAATGACTTTAGAACTAAGGCTTTCTCCATGCCAATAAGCCTGGATGCAATAGAGCGTAAGTAACCTCACAAAACTATGTATATCAACTCCCAGTTATCAACTGTGGTACTTCTAAATGGTGAGCCCCTGGGTGTTAAAGAACATCATCATTCTTGTTACAACTAAACATCAATGTTTTCTATGCTGATAAGTGATAATGCATATACATCTCCAAAAGTGGAACGCTTTTCAAATTCGAGTTACCAATAATATGGACCTCTAGAACTTTTACATCTCCCAAGTAGAACACTATTTAAAGGTAACAATTTTTTGTGTTCCACTAACACACGTTTAACTGTATATGGAATTGTTATTTTTTCAGCTAATCGCTACTCTGCTCTCCTGATTCCCTGTGCGCCCGGTGCAATCTCTGATCTTGCCAACAGTCCCCAGCTGGCAATCATCATCAACAACTTTGTTGCAGAGAAAAGTAAGAGCTTTGTTTGTTCATGCTTTGAGACCTTACTATTCCATAGCAATGGATTTAGCTCTTGGATTTGAGCTTTAAAGAGAAATTGTTTTGCTCTCCTCAAAGAGAAACTCATTTATTTAACTGTGCAATACATTAATGGTTAATATTGATCTTGACAATCCTGGTTAACATGTGCTAGGATATAAGGCCATACAAAGTTAAATCTATGTTTGATATCACCTACCTTCTATGATTTAAGCAATTTTCCAGATCACTGGCAGGACATTAAACTTTGAATTAACTTTAAATAACCTAACTGACATCTGGATAGGTGACTTATTTTATGCTGTACATTCCAGAGCCAATATGTGCCATTGGACTGGGTGTATCTGTATTGTGCTGTTCTTATTTTATGCTGTCTACTTTCCAGAGCCAATATGTGCCATTGGACTGGGTGTATCTGCATTGTGTTGTGCTTATTTTATGCTGTCTACATTCCAGAGCCAATATGTGCCATTGGACTGGGTGTATCTGCATTGTGTTGTGCTTATTTTATGCTGTCTACTTTCCAGAGCCAATATGTGCCATTGGACTGGGTGTATCTGTATTGTGCTGTTCTTATTTTATGCTGTCTACTTTCCAGAGCCAATATGTGCCATTGGACTGGGTGTATCTGCATTGTGCTGTGCTTATTTTATGCTGTCTACATTCCAGAGCCAATATGTGCCATTGGACTGGGTGTATCTGTATTGTGTTGTGCTTATTTTATGCTGTCTACATTCCAGAGCCAATATGTGCCATTGGACTGGGTGTATCTGCATTGTGCTGTGCTTATTTTATGCTGTCTACTTTCCAGAGCCAATATGTGCCATTGGACTGGGTGTATCTGCATTGTGCTGTTCTTATTTTATGCTGTCTACTTTCCAGAGCCAATATGTGCCATTGGACTGGGTGTATCTGCATTGTGTTGTGCTTATTTTATGCTGTCTACATTCCAGAGCCAATATGTGCCATTGGACTGGGTGTATCTGCATTGTGCTGTGCTTATTTTATGCTGTCTACTTTCCAGAGCCAATATGTGCCATTGGACTGGGTGTATCTGCATTGTGCTGTGCTTATTTTATGCTGTCTACTTTCCAGAGCCAATATGTGCCATTGGACTGGGTGTATCTGTATTGTGCTGTTCTTATTTTATGCTGTCTACTTTCCAGAGCCAATATGTGCCATTGGACTGGGTGTATCTGCATTGTGCTGTGCTTATTTTATGCTGTCTACATTCCAGAGCCAATATGTGCCATTGGACTGGGTGTATCTGCATTGTGCTGTGCTAGGAAAGATGGAGGAGACTGGAGCCTCAAAGATTATAGCCTCACCTCTGTAAGTTAACAAGAGGAGGAAATTACCCATTATTAGTGCCTATGCTTGGGACATAATTCTGTCCAAGTTGTATGATTAGTCAGTCATTCCGGTCCAAATTGAATGACAGACTAGTTGTCATTTAATTTTCCTATGCAGTTAGATATATATATAAGTTGAACATATCTGGTACCACAAAATACTGTTTAACTTAGAGGTTAATTTTATATTAAGTTTTATGGGTAATGGGGCTTGGGTTAAGATTGTAAATATTTTTTATTCTTATTCATGTGAAGTCATGTTTTGTTTTAGACATCAGTATTTGAACTGGCTAGGAGTGTAGACTTTGCTAACTTACAGATCATTCCAGAAGACTTCATTAAAGACAATGGAGGCACATATAGCTGTAAGTATACATCATTTTAAAGCTAAATCCTACATCTTTGCATTGTTATACGGGATAATATACGATGACTTGTGCATACTAAATGTGATGAAAATGTTAGTTGTCATTTCAAAATTGAACAATATGTACATGAAGCTAATTAATGAGCATGGGAAACTAATCATTGTATTGATTTATCAATATTTGTGACTTTTAGGTAGCAAGCCAGACTGTGTACATGTTGTAATAGACCAACACATCATAACTGGACAGAATGAACAGTCAACCCTTACATCAGTACAGAACCTTATACTGCTGTGCAATCAAAGGTGAGACAAAGAACAGAGATGTTAGAAGCAATCACTGTCTTTTTAATTTTCTCTTTGCACACTAAAGACTTATTGTAAATATATTTGCATTTTTGTTGGTATGATTCTTTAGTTTAATTTTGAGTGATTAAAAAACATATTTGTATTTACTTCACAGAATTGCCGATGTATTGAGATCTGACTATTTGGCATCTCTAAATAATGAAATAAAATGAATGTTTTAGACAGGGAAAGAAGTGATTGAAGATCCTTGGCCATCATTCCCGGGGATGAGGATCAACAATCTAATAATCATTCCAGCCCAAAAGGACAACCAAGATCACCAATATACAATGTGCAATTATTGACTATTGACTTCATAGCCATGGAGCAATTTTGTAGAGTAGAACTTTGTGATGTTGTATGGATGAAGTTCCATTGTTGAGGTTACATTAACACCTGTCCGATGGAACACCTCTCTGTAAGGAACAATTCTTTATGGATCAGTATTTGTAAGCACCAAGTCCCATTGACTAATATGATAATGAACCCTCTCTGTGGGGAACATCTGTCTATTTGGAACACATTGGCCAGTACAGAACTTGTTCCATACATACAGGTTTAACTGTACTGAAAGACATCAACTTATAATAATGCAAATCATTAATTCTGGAAATGCTTAATCAGGAATAGCAATGTAAGGGAATATTGTTATTACAATCAGGAGCAGTCGCATCATAGACATGAAAATGATCCACGATTTTAATTGGTCTAAATAGGGTACCATATTGCTGAAATGTCCTAACATTACCACCAGTGGTATCATATCACCAAGGACATTGTATTACCAAATTGAATGACATTAAATCACCATGGATATAATAGAGCCACAAGACAGCATTTATAATTTGTCATAGTGACCAACTTAATAAAAACAGTTGGTCGAACTCCATATTGTAAATGGAATTGTATATATAGAGGCAGATATGTACTTAAAGAAATATACACAAAACATATATATATTTAAGAATAGAAATAAATTGTTATATATTTCATTTTTCATATTTATACAAATATACAACAATGACCTTGAAATATATAGTAGACCAATATTCGAGATTTCTCAGAGTTAATTAACTAAGGCCAATGAAATATTGCCTCTGCTCAGTTCCAAATCACAGAAACCATACAATGAGAATATTTAAAATTATTCTCTCATTGTCATGCTTGCAGTTGTATGATTGGTCAAAACTGGGTCACATGTCATTGTCAATGATGTCATGGTAGACATTTAACCTATATCAATATTTTAATCAATGTTTAAACATAAATACTACCTTTGATAGTAAAGCTTGAAAGTAATATAATACAAGAAATATTTCACTCTATTTTCTGTGAAAACCTGTGGCATAGAATAAAATATTTGTACAATATTTCATTTACCTTTATTACCCACATTTATTCAGAAACAAAACACCAACGTTTCAATTTAGGAAGTGAAAGTCTTATCTTTGATAATACATGTAGGATTATACCAATGATTTATATTCTTTTCCTTGTTTAATTGAAATGTTCATAAGTTAATAGATAAATTACTCATCCTTAAGCAAGAAGACTTAGCCATGATTTGAATCAGGTGAATAACAGAGACCCATCACATTGGGTATGCAACAATACATAGTGATCACCCAATACTTCAGCACCTATGGAAATCTATTACAGAAGCATATTTGTATGTTACACGCTGTTACATATTTAAAATATTATCATAGTGACAACACTGATATAGTGACAACAAAATATTGTCATCGGAGTGACAATGTTGCCATGGTGATAATATCATAGTGACAATATTGCCACAGTATATAAGGCAAATCAGTTCATGTAACATACAAACATGAACACCCTGTTCTAAGTACTTTTCACATCAGGAGTTAAACCATTGTATTTTTGCAACTATGAACATATTAATCATTAAACTTCAGGATCTCTTATTATAATCACAAACAACAATTATTTGCACATTGTGATTCAACATTTTACAGTTACAATTTTCTAATACATCCTGGTTATATTGTTCTTGTACATAATTAGTACAGCATTACACCATGCAGTAGTATTCATAACAAGATATCCAGTACATAGTAGATTAAATAAATAATATAATGCATGGTTTTCTTCCATCATGCTTTATGTCCCAACATTGCATTATTTTGCTTTATACATGCCACTATAGCCTGTGGCCAACAGAAAGCTCATACCCTTATATCTGTATATAGTCAGTATCAATTATGAAAAGCAGACACATGCAAGCAACATGCAATCAATCACAAACAATCACATAAATGGTGACATTGTAAAACAAAGTAATTAATATATTCCCATAGATTAAAAAGACTTAGGGGTGATCCAAAACTTCCATACAAGAAAACAATGGTGCAAAACTTTTGGATCAACCCTTGTATGTTTTACACACAAATCATTGTGTCAAATACATAATATGCCTCTGCTTCAAATGCAACAGTATTCTATTAGGGATCATATTTAATAATCCACTCAATGATTTCTATGCCAAACACAACAATGACAATGATAATGTTTCTTAAACAATTCAACATTTTAAAAATTTGTTTCATGATAAATGACTATCATTGCTGTAGCATTTGTAAAAATGTTACAAAACATCAAACCCTTTCTTCCAAGAATTATTAACATGATGATCACCTAAAGAATCATGTTCAAGATCGTTCTCAGTGAGAAAATTCTTAAAGGGTCTATGTAACAAGATCTTGAATCCAAAACATTTAATTATCAACAGTTTCCCATGTATTTGACCTTTCAATCCAATCTCATGTCTTCATTATAATATCATTGATAGTTTGTTCATTAAAATACTAATTTTGATTAAATCATTCATCAATGATTTATATAGTATGAATTATGTCCACATGGTGCTGTGGATTATGTGGAGAGTATAACGGCAGTACATATTAGTGCTTAATTTAGGACACTCCAATTACTAAACTTTACTATGCAACCTCTGATTACTTACATTGTAATGGCAATATAAGGTAAGTATGGGTTACTAATCAGAACTTACATTTTGAGTTATCTTGTAAAGCTTTTACTGATAACAGTACAATTTGACACAGACCCGGCATGTACATGTACTTTTTACACCCATAATTGTTTATGGTTTTTGAATTCAAATATGTGAAACCCACATATGTGAACCTCATATATTTTGCTAATACTGCATCTCAAATTCTGATAATGGATATAGCATTAATATTGCAGCTAATATCAACCAACAATCAATGTAGTAGCATCATTCTTAATTATGCCACATAATTATTTTGAATTATACAATAACCTAAATATACAAATATGAGTACTTGGTATCTTGGATTTCTACATCTTTCAAACAGCATTATTTAGTTTAATTTCATATAATTTAGTATTTTTGAGTTGCTTTAAACCAAAAAAGTTCTGAATTCATATTATTTTGTAAAATTATTTATCTTAAATCATCAGCATTAAAGAACTATTGTGGTGGCTGCACTGGTTGACCTTGCCCTGGTTGTCCTTGACCTTGCACTGGTTGTCCTCCTTGCACTGGTTGTCCTTGACCTTGCACTGGTTGCCCTTGACCTTGTACAGGTACTTGAGCTTGTCCTTGAGCTTGTTGCTGCTGTTGCTGTTGCTGCTGTTGTTCTTGCTGTTGCTGTTGTTGTTCAGCATGTATCTGACTCTGTTTAGCTTGTTCCATCTGTTGTTGTAATCTTGCTTGTTTATCTGCTTGTTGCTGTTGATCAACATTTATTTGCTGTTGTTGATGATGCTGTTGTTGCTGTTCATGATGTTGTTGTTGATTGACCTGAATGGAAATGAAAAGAATGTATCATAATTAGTAGTTATTCAAGAAAAACATATCCACTGCCTACTTTACTGTATTTCATAAATAAATTCTCAATCGTCTGACCAAATAAGGGCCTTGTCACCATTAACAACCAGAACATACACCTACATAATTTGTCTACGACTGCAAATAAATTATTGTACTTGTTTGTATTAACACATAATAAATATTCACCTGTTGCTGTTGCTGCTGTTGTTGCTGTTGCTGCTGTTGTTGCTGTTGCTGCTGTTGTTGCTGTTGCTGCTGTTGTTGCTGTTGTATTTGCATGTGGTCCACTTGCTGGCCACCCTGTTCGGGCTGAAGATGGTCTACTGGTACAGGAGGGGGCTACAAAATGAGGCATACACATTAAAACACTTTTTTACAAGGGCATAATGAAGAGGTTTCACAGATTTTGATACATAGAGCTAAGAATCATAATGTGAGACCTCCATTCTGTTTCATTTGCAATAATAGGCAGGGAAATGAAAATGTCGGTACAAACAGTTCAATCTTGTACTTGAACAAAACAATTGTCTAAACGTAAGTTTGATATTTCAAAAGTACCCATTTTCTCAGTATGTACAGGATCCTTTCCTGTGTTGAAAATTAGTGACCATTATTTTACCCATGTTGTTGTTATTTACATACATAAATACTTGGAATACATCCTTGAAATTGTTATTTAAAATAAGCTTATTTTCATGTGAGCATATTTTAATTGTGCTTCTAGCTTTTTCCCCAAGTAATAATATTAATTTTTTTGCAAATTAAGACTTTTTAATAATTATATAAACAAAATGTATAAAGAAGGCTTCACAACTGTACTCTGATTGGTTCACAGGCAACTAGACATTATATGCTACATCAATCAAATTACAGATGGACAAATAAACATTAAAGGAATATTCCAAACTGACATTTTCTGATCAAATATTATCAGTACCACATTGGTACATTTACAAAGGGTGAACCATTGATGTGAAGAAAGATGGAAAATGTTTGGGTGAAATATTCCTTTAAGTTTTATCAGATCATGTGTATCACAAACTATCATCACATAATTATATAACATATACGGCATGCATATCAAACATAAAACATCAAATACAATTACACATAGCACTGAGTATTATATGTTATATAATGTTGTTATATCCATGTTAGAATATTGTCACATAGCCAATAGATCTTGTTCGAAATAAATAAAAGAGAGGTTTCGCACAGCATTTTTAGCTCAAAATCTACAACACATTCACCAGATATATGCATGGTAATTCAATTAAAACAAGATAAGTTATAGATACATTGTGCGAAACCTCTCTTATATGGTAAACCTTTCGTTCTTTAGAGAAAAACCCTGGCCCTTTTAGTGAAGTAATGTATTAAACTTGGTTATATTTTACAATTTATAATGCCATATTACAAAGCAGCAGTGCTTGTAAACAAAACAGCAAGAAGTTTTTAAAATTAGCATTACTGTAATTTAATGTTACTTCTGCCTTGAATATGTAAGAATGACATCATAACCAATAAGTAGCTAGATTTCTTTTACCCGGTCCATGTTTTATTTCAGTCTATTGTTAATTCAGAGAATCCAGAGAGGTACCATTTTAGCTATGTGAAATATTCTAGTGATTCACATTCACATAATACTCCATACACCACAATATATATATCAAGGGTCTGTTTCTTGAAATGATAACAATTGTAAAGCAATTAATTTATATAATTAGAAACGGACCCCTGCAGGTTGAATATATCTATTACAATTTATATCTAGAAAAGAGTGGAATTATTAAAATTAGCATGCATGCGAGGCCAAAAATAAAATAAAGCACAATTTTATCAAGTTTGGAAGAAATTTACATCTCACATTAAAAATAGTACCAATGCAATGAAATTGAGGAGACTGTTTTATTCATCAAATGCTTCAAATAGTAGTTTTTATTGCGAAAACCTCATTTTATTTTATGACCTCCATATACAATGCATAACATGTAATCATATAACACTTTATATACAGTAGAAATATGCATAAAGTATTATAATGATTATCATGTTTTTATAAGTTAGCAGAGTTAGATCATATACAATGAGCTTAACAGAAATATACTTTCACCTCTGAGTAGGAGTGATGATTTCAATATTTGGCACTTAAACCAATAAGTGCACATTGCAGAACAACACTATTTGTTCATATAAACACAAAGCAAAAATGCCCCGATTGGCTTTGCATATTTATTGAATTATCATTTAGTTATCTAAAGAGTGTGGTATTATTTCAATCACTCTTGCGAAGGTAGTAAGTAAGTAACCCACTTTTTGAGTTGAGATAGAAATGCAAACTTTATAAGAAAGTAGAATACAACTTAGGCTTAAAGGTTAATATACATTGATAGAACAATGAGAAAAATAGCACTTTTGGAATCATAGGAAGAGGAATCCTGAAGTACAAATTAGTGTCCAGGGTTTGTTTCTAAAATTTGGCATTCTATTACAAACTTTATGTTCACTAAGAGATATTTAGACATCAATCATTCATCAGACTCACATATTCACACTAGTACAACAGCACTGCATAATATACTATCAAAATTATGCTTCATTAAACTGTGATACAAGATATCTAATACAGTTCTAGGAGACACTAGTGCATAAATGTAATGTACTGTCAATAACAAAAGCAAGGACGATCACTAAATATTTAATAAATATACTGGGAATCTTGGAAAAAGAGTTCATACAGAAGTTGTAAATCCTGTGAGTTTTAGAGTGACAACGATTAAAGATATTTTCAGTGATTGATAGGTTAAGAAGTGAACACCTCATTTCAAAGTTATAAACATATTCATAACTTTTAATATGTGGAGATAGAACGGTGGTAAGATTAAAGAAAAATTGTGGTCAGTGCCGCTTTTCATCCATGATCACCTGGTTTCCAGTTTTAAGAGATATAACTTTTTCTTTAATGTTCGCATCAATCTCTTCCGCCGTCATTGGACCATCCGGGCCTTTTGCAGCATCCCTGACCTTTATATTTAAATCATTTACTGCAGCCTTAAGGTCATCTTTATTGATGTTATGGTCTTTCAGTTTTTGCTCATATTTTTTGACAAATTCGTCAAATTCTTCATCTGTGAAATTATCTGTGTCGTCTACTCCTTCCTGCTCGAAAAGAATCCAGAAATGACATTTTATCAGTAAATGTTTATATCTATAATTTCAACATAATCCATTTTTGATTCCCTCCATTCCACCATGGTACCAGCTATTCCTGTTTTTAGTGAAACCTAAAAATGGAAGAAAGCAGACGAATTAGTTCCATGACACACCCCATCAAAGTTACTTACAATTTCCCCAGGTTGGTGGCCTTCTCCAGCTTTTCTCATTTCTTCCTCATATTTCCTCTCAAATTCCTCCAATTCCTCATCTGTGTAGTTTTCCTCTTCATCAACTCCCTACATAGCAGCGGACATATTTAATATGGATGACAAATAGACACCCATGATTGAAAATCAATTGTTTATTTCTTTCTACATAGTAAAGCAATTCTTTATGAATTTCAATTGTGGAATGTCCTTAAAGGGGTCACCCCTCTATGATACATAAACAATGAAATTTTTTATAATAAAACAAATGATTCAATTGAACATATGAATGGAATTACAGAGCATTATAAGTAAAAAATAAATGTCTGAGTATACTTCTACAAGATCCTAAATACAAGATAAGATATATTGAATTGCTTTAAAAAGTGGCCCTAAAAAAATAGCCAGAGAAGGCTCTATTTATAATAATGCCAGTTGTATATATGAATTACATATAAAAGCTTGAGGTTTAAGATTTTCTATTTCAATATAAATTGGTGAAATATCACAAGCACTCCAGTAAACATGTTCATGTAAGATGTATGAATCCCAATCAGAAAGTTTCTTGGTGAAGTCTCAAAACAAAGCTGAAGGAATGAAAAAAGAAAACATTTTGTTCAACAAGAAACTTTCTGATTTTGCCTCTTACTTACCAACCAACCATCATCTTTATCAAAGTCATCAGATTTGGTGTATTTGATAAACTCATCAAAGCTGATTAAACGATCTTTGTCAGTGTCAACATCATTATCAAGATGTTCACGCATACGTGCCATATCCTCTTCTCTTTCAACCATATCATCTTCCTCAGGGTTTTCTGGGTCATACACTTTATCAAGCTACAATAGAGGGCAGCACTTATATGGCTGTTGCATAAATCTGTCCTATTTAAAAAGCGTTTTCTGGGATCTGGATTACCTTTTTAATCAAATGTGCATAAATATCAAAATTTAGAATTTCATTAAAATTATGATGAATTGATGAATTTTCTCACCTCCTTCTGGAAGAGTGCCTCTGTCTCTTCCTCATCCCAGAAGCCGTCACCATCCAAATCTAAAGAACAATTACAATACAAATATACAGTATATATCCACAATTAGGAGTTGTATTTAAAGAAATGCTCCTGAACCCCATACTTTTAATCAAGTAATATTGGGCCGATTCAATATTAATTTGATACACATGCTTACCATGCATTTTGAAGAATGTTTTAGGATCAAAGTCATCAGGGTCCATGTGGTCTGTCTTCTCCCATACTTCTTCTAGTTGGTCTTTAGAACCCTTAAAAATAATAATTATTTGTTGAAGCTATGTGGCATCATCTTCATTCACTGGGCCCCTGTCAGTCCTGAGAATGCGGTGAAGACTGAGAGTGTGAAAATTATCTTAAATGTCTTAACATGCCAAAATGCTTTTTTAATACATTCAGTAAACGGAAAATGTATTTAAGTATCACAGCCTAAATACATGTACTATTATTTGATTGGTCTGATTGAATGACCAATCAAATCAGAGTACAAAGTATGATAATATGAGCTACATATTGTAATCCCTGATCAATTGTGTATATGTTTAACTTGTCACATATTCATCATACTCAAATACTCACAGGTTCATGTACTTTAGGATGTTCTTTATGTTTCTGTTCCAGCTCCTTTTCATGCTCTTCTTCTTTCTTTCTCTCCTCCTCAGTCATTCGCTTTAATTTCTCCCGTCGTAAATGTTCTTTTTCCATCTCATATTCCTTGAAGTTTTCACGACGTTTCTTGTCAGCCTCTTCGAGATCATTAGTTGCCTAAATAATATTGTCAATAAAACCTGGAGTTTTTGAAAAGTTTTTTGAAATCTTTTGTTTTAATCAAGCAAGATTTCCAGACTCATTAAAACCTTATTTGTTGTTTTATTTTATTTTATATTAAACGTATATTTCATGAATAAAAGTTATAAAATTATATACCAGTCAATACAACTGTACAGAGCATTTCTTTTAAGGATATTTTACACTTTGAACACTGTCATGTTCCTTTAACTCTAAATTAGAGACAGAGGAAATTCAAATTATTTTAACTTTGAACAGATTTACAGATCTACAAAGAATCATATCCAAAAATGTATGCGAAAACAGTGATGATCCATTTTCCCATATAAGGTATGAGTATACATATAAAGAGAATGGTGTGCATTATTACAATCTAAAAGTATAAAATCCCAGCACCATATGAAGACATTTATACAATACTTACATGCTTAAGACTATTTCATCGAGAGTACTTATATCTATTAAAGAGGGGGGAGTATTAAATAAGAAAGTATAATATCAAAAGTCCATCAAGCTACACTTCACAAGAGCTTGAACTTGCCTTTACTCTTTAAATGAGAGATGACTCTTTTAACTAACCCACTGGTGGATCTAGGCCCCCCCTAAACCCACCCAGGATGAGACAGAAAATATTTTAGGCATCAATTAGTGGGCCTTCTGGGATAACTTGACCTTTTTGGGCCTTATTTTTCAATTTAAGGCCAAATTATAATATTGAAATATGCCCCCCTGGTTAGCTTCTGAATCCGCCACTGTAACCATGGATTTAACACTGTATTCAATGAAACTGTCTTGTATTTACAGGTTGCTCCATGCATTACTATAATTGGATCCTCAGAGAATAAATTATGGTTAGTTGATTGAAGAGGAAATGTGCATCCATGTTGGAGTATCTTCCTAAATGTCAAAATCAGATGGTTACAAAATCCTATTAATGAATGAATAAATGAGTGTACCAGTAGAAAGATATCCTTAAAAGAGGAAGTAAGCTAGATATAAGACATTGGTGGTATTACAATAAGACATGCTCCCTCCTTATTGGTGGCATTATAATAAGACATGCTCCCTCCTCTTTACCATCGGTGCCACCTTTGTGCTCATACCTGTACAATCAATTTCTCCAGATCCTTTACTTCAAATTGTTCCCCATGATGGCCAATATGTTTTACCATTTGACGGAAATCAGGTAGATGGTCTGGAGAGTCACCAGCTAAAATGATGAAAAGAGCTAAGGACCAGGGTTTATACATTAAAACTGCAACATTTCAGAGAATTCTACCATGACTGTGTATACCGTTTACAATCCTGAAATGCACAATATTTTGGATGACCAATTCATAAAAGTGGCAATAATCATTTTTTGCAAAAATGCTGCATTCACTATTCGTAAAATCAAGATGCCTGAAAAGTACCACATTTACAATACAGCTTTTGGCCAATAAATACCAAATATTTTCATCTCAGGATTGTTTCAGTGAACCATCATTGGTAAATATCCTCTAAATGTCACATAATCCCTTTTATAATCCTACCTTTACAATTAATTTGGCCAAATCTGCTACTTCAAATGTTTCTGTATTAGAGTGGTCCATGTGACCCAAGTTGCTCCTAAATTGATTTAAAACATCAACATGGTTTCCTAAAATATACAATGCAAGTGTTAGAGCTTTTTATTAGGACTTAGCCAGCCACACATTGTTAAAAACGCAATATGTGGACATATATTATTTAATTTTTCATCCAACTGACAAGATTATAAATGCTTTAATATTTATTTGATGTAGTTATAGACTGTTTTTCTGTGTTATATTAAAGCACAACCATAGAGTCCAAACAAGGCATTAACATGCAAAATGTCACCACCTTACATTTGTTACAGACACCGAAGGCCAACTGCCCACTGCCGGCACAAAAAGGTTTGAGACTATAACAATATGGTGTGGTGGTGACATAAAAACAAAAAAAGGTTGAACAGGGAATCCAACCACAGGGCCATGTTACAAGCGATGATCCTGACATTTAGACCAGTGGTCATTTCACATACATGTATACTTCTAGACTAATCTAACACATGTCATTTTTTAAAATTCTAATTTAGCAGCCATGTGATATCCTTCTGAACCAAGAAATCTTCAAATAATCAGATGTCCAGTGACCATCCAATCGACCAAAGGAACAATCCTCGAAATGACACCTTTATGTGAGTATTTGCACATATCACATCAATGTATATTCTCTCATTATACCTCAAAATATCACTATAGTCCGGATGTGAAGTGCCATATTTTAAGTGAAGGTGGAAATGCTTATTATATGAACTTTTTTTGCATTTTTCTGTTTAAACATGATATCCATATTCAGAAACTGTCGGATGCCCAACGGGCACCCTTAAGGAATTTTTTTGGCGGCCATTTTGAATTTTCACACGTTTTTATGTATTTTAGCCAGCATATTACAAGAGAAAACTAGCATACACATACACAAATCTTGCTGTTTTTCTATAATAGAGTTTTAATATGATGTATACCAATATGTTAGGTTCCAGAAATGTTTCTTGACAAAAATAAAAAAAATTCAAGATGGCCGCCAACCTTACAATTTATGAAATGTCTCATTCTGTGATAAGATCAAATGGATATTAGTGTTTCCTACAAAATTATCAATAAATAATACTAAATACATCTGATTATGATCTCTTTCTCACATATAAAATATCTGAAATGAGTAAAAAGTAACCTACATAATAATAATGATGTTCCACAAGGGTCATTTCATGGTGCTATATATATCTTGAATTTATGAATTCTCTTCTTTTACTAAGATTTCATCAAGGATTTCCCTCAATAAATCCTCATCAGTTTCTTCCAATTCCTGTTCAGTTACTGTCTTTGTATGTTGGTTATTGCATTCATTCCCCTTGCAAACACAGAACAATGTACATGATAAAGATGCCTTGGAGCATGAACATTGCCCAGTTCTACATACATTGCCCTCTGATGCACATGTGCACTTAATGAGCTGGAGAATCCCTTCAGGGGCACAGGGTGTATCCTTGGGCATTGTTGTTGGGACAATTGAGCCTGTGCTGTTAATTTCCCAACCATAATCTGTTGGAAGGATAAGTGGGGGGTCAGGCATACCAGCATTTTTCCATATAGCTACTTGGAAATGAGCTCGCTTCACATGCTGGAAAAATGCTTCTGTTGTTGGTGGGAGGGATTTTAGCTTTGGTGCATTTGTAATGTGTTTTGCAGCATTTTTCTTTGCTCACACAGCATATCTCACATCAGACATTTTGTCTGTGACTTTAGGTGTAATTCCATAACATCTAGAAACAAATTCTGTTGAAGTTTTCTCAACTTCAGTCATGTCTGCATTGACATCTCCCAAGTTAGTGAGTGAGTATCTATTTAACACCTTCAGGACTGTTAGCTTGCCAATTCCATGCATGCAAGATGTTGTATCACTGCCAGAGAGACCATGCGCAGCTAACAAGTTTGGGATTTTTAATCTGTGTTCATTTACGGTTGCATTTATGTTAATGTTTGCTCGGCCAGATGATGTTCCCTCCATTATGATGTTATTTTCCATTAACTTCTGCTTGAGACAGTGATGAAGAAGTAGAAGGAAAACATCAGTATCATCACTGAGTACACTGATATTCTGTTGGCCTTTACTGGCAGCATGCAGAACCTGGTGTACGATATCAACATCTGCTTCTTCTTGAGTGTTCCTTAAGTCATTACGTTGGTCAATATTGCCTTTGTGAATTTGTACAGGTGTTGGATCAGGACCTGTGATAACAAGGATGTTGGAGAATGATCCTTCACTAGCTTTTTGAGTGAGATGGTCGATGACACACTTTATCAACTGGACTTTGTTCTCAGTCACATTCAGTACAACATTCTGTGCAGGGAGAGGTGTGTCGGAGCTGAACTTATACACTCTCCTGGCTGATTGAGCTCGAGATGACCTGGTGCTGTTCTTTATGCTATTGTCTTTATATCTGTCAAAGATAAGGTATACATCTGATTCGGTTAGGAATCTCAGGATGTACTTAGTGAAAGCAATACAGAAGTTTTCAATTTTGCCAGCCATCGGCCATGTTATGATCCAAAGGATGGCACACCCATCAACGACACGTACATTGCAATTGTTTCCTCTTGAGGTCACCTCAATCTGTAACTTTTGTTTCAGTGTTGATTTTGAAGTTGTGATATTAATTTCTCCATTTTCATCAAATAGTGATAATGGAGGGAACATCATCTGGCAGAGCAAACATTAACATTAATGCAACCGTAAATGAACACAAATTAAAAATCCCAAACTTGTTAGCTGCGCATGGTCTCTCTGGCAGTGATACGACATCTTGCATGCATGGAATTGGCAAGCTAACAGTCCTGAAGGTGTTAAATAGATACTCACTCACTAACTTGGGAGATGTCACTGCAGACATGACTGAAGTTGAGAAAACTTGAACAGAATTTGTATCTAGATGTTATGGAATTACACCTAAAGTCACAGACAAAATGTCTGATGTGAGATATGCTGTATGGGCAAATAAAATGCTGCAAAACACATTACAAATGCACCAAAGCTAAAATCCCTCCCACCAACAACAGAAGCATTTTCCCAGCATGTGAAGCGAGCTCATTTCCAAGTAGCTATATGGAAAAATGCTGATATGCCTGACCCCCCACTTATCCTTCCAAAAGATTATGGTTGGGAAATTAATAGCACAGGCTCACTTGTCCCAACAACAATGCCCAAGGATACACCCTGTGCCCCTGAAGGAATTCTCAAGCTCATTAAGTGCACATGTGCATCGGAGGGCAAGGTATGTAGAACTGGGCGATGTTCATGCTCGAAGGCATCTTTATCATGTACATTGTTCTGTGTTTGCAAGGGGAATGAATGCAATAACCAACATACAAAAAACAGTAACTGAACAGGAATTGGAAGAAACTGATGAGGATTTATTGAGGGAAATCCTTGATGAAATCTTAGTAAAAGAAGAGAATTCATAAATTCAAGATATATATAGCACCAAGAAATGACCCTTGTGGAACATCATTATTATTATGTAGGTTACTTTTTACTCATTTCAGATATTTTATATGTGAGAAAGAGATCATGATCAGATGTATTTAGTATTTTTTATTGATAATTTTGTAGGAAACACTAATATCCATTTGATATTATCACAGAATGAGACATTTCATAAATTGTAAGGTTGGCGGCCATCTTGAATTTTTTTATTTTTGTCAAGAAACATTTCTGGAACCTAACATATTGGTATACATCATATTAAAACTCTATTATAGAAAAAACAGCAAGATTTGTGTATGTGTATGCTAGTTTTCTGTTCTAATATGCTGGCTAAAATACATAAAACGTGTGAAAATTCAAAATGGCCGCCAAAAAAATTCCTCAAGGATGCCCGTTGGGCATCCAACAGTTTCTGAATATGGATATCATGTTTAAACAGAAAATGCAAAAAAAGTTCATATAATAAGCATTTCCACCTCTACTGGCTCTACATCCAGACTACTAGGTACCTCGGGACAAACCATGATTACTTTTTAATAGAAGGTGCAGCTTTAACACATAATCAATGTTTTTTGAAATAGTTAAGATATATATTCTTAACAAGTGAATGATTAATTACTTTAAAGAACGACACCTTGATATGTGACACGATGCTTTAGTGCCATTTCAGTTATACCATAAAACACCAGATTATATATCTAGTTTTCAAGCATAGTAAATTCATCAACCAAAAGGTTAAAAACGTGATCATGTGATCACTATTATACAAATTGGGAGGAGGTGTTAATCATTTAATGAAACAGCATGCAGTAGAAAATAAACATAAACTCTAACATGAAAGCACTCTCCATTCGCCTATATATGCCCTATCAATATACTTAAAATAATGTTGCATTGGAAAGTTACAATATACAACTTCCTGATACAAGAGAATCCAGAAAACTTCTTTGGGCGGAACACCTCTTTAAATGGAATGGCTCTATGTGGACAACCTCTTTAAGTAGAAAACCTCTGAGCAAAACACATCTTTAAGTGGAAAACATCTTTAAAAGGAACACTACTTTAAGTGAAACACTTTTTCCTGTGGCACACTTCACAAGTAGAACTGTGTTTAAGAACCTGTACCCATAAAGTAGAAAGTGAAACTTTTTGGTGGTCTAAAGGGCATTCCACTAACAAAGGCCTTACTTTCTAGTTTAACAGTATAAAGGGAAGGGGGGTTTACACTGTAGTTGGGATTCCCAAAATCTGATTCCATCAACTCAACAAAATAATGAAACTATGTCATCTCATGAACTAATTTCTACTAAAACTAAATCTAAATGGTCCAAAGCAGTTTCACACAATTTCACCAATTGGTCAAATTGGCCAAGTGTCATTGTTAAAGCTGGGAGAGGGTTAACTGTACCATTGTTGTTTTCTCCTAGCTCAGCATCTATATGTAGAAGAGAGATGGCATGATTGTCTCAGCTGTATTAATACATGTGTGTTTTTCATACAATTCAATAACATTATAAAATAAAATGAGAGGATGATCCATATGAATCGCATTTAATTTGTAATATAGCAGTAGAAAAAGTGTGTACATGACAATCTTTCAATACATTAGTCTGTGCTAATGTTCTATAGTCATTCTCCAAACACAGAGCTCTAGATATCATCAACTCTGTTCCTTCCTTCTTTCTGTAGAGCCCTGTACCTGGAGGATGCTTTATAGTCAGTATTTTGAATTTACAAATAGATTAATGAAAAATAATCTGAAAGTTAGGCTATCAAATAGTTAGAAATATGAGCCTTGACAAATTGTTAAAAGACAATCAAACAAGAGTATTCATATAAATGTAACACATTAAATCACAAGACCATTGAGTTTTAAAAAACTTCTCAAAACAATAGACATACCTTTTGCTGCTTGCATTTTTGCGTGCATAAGCTCTTTAAGACGTGTCAATTCACGGCGTTTCAGCTCATCTAGTCTAGTTCTGATTCTGTGGGAGACCATTTCTAAATGCTGAGCTATTTCACCACTCTACAATATAACAATTACATATACGCATAACATTTTATAACAGTTTCCTTTTTTTAATATATTGACTTCATAGTCTGGACATTTCAATGGATTTACCCATGATTGCCATATTTACCAGAGACAGGCAATTTAAAGAGAAGATACCAGACAGCAGCTTCTAGTAGGTTAAGTGGAAAAAGATACAGTGTAAAATATTGGAATCTTTTCTTTTAATAAATACCCAATGTGAATATTGCATTTAATATTAGTATAGAGCAATTTCAGGATATAATACTCAGAAAATACAAAAATAATGCTGCCAGTAAAAAGAAATGATACCCCAGCTTGTCTCTATAATCCTTTACTTTAATGATTCAATTTTGGGCACACATAAAACATCCATGCTTATTGCATAATAAAAAACAGGCTTTTACATTTCTAAAATAATTCAACATTCATCAAACGGTCAAAATATATTATAATACAGTAACAATTTATAGATTTTTGAACTCCTATATCTAAATAATGGGCTACTGATAAGTTATCTGTAAAACTATAGATAGGTTATCTGTAGACTCCAAAATAACAGATGTCACTTTTGCAAGATGTACCTTGATATAAGTAATGTTTGACTCCTCTAATTTCTTCCTGAAGCCCTCATCCTCTTCTAATATGGATACTACCTCTTTTAAGTAACGATCATATTCTAGACCAGTATCCTAAAAAACAAGAATATTCAGTTATTTCTTCACCTAAAGGAATATGCCAGATTTTAGTGAGATGACAATTTAGGAGGACTTTTTCTTACTTCTGTTATATGAACACCTCTGAATGTGAACACATTTTTTCGGTTTCATTTCTTTTACTCTGCCATGGATTGTCATTGTAATAAAACCTTGATATGTGAACACCTGCTAATCTGAACACTTTCAGGTTTTACTGAATATAAAATTCTAGATCATATCATCATGTGATGACAAAATCATACTGGCATATACAATTTCTACAGTGAAACATGTTTTATTTGTATACACAAAGTCAGTATGTATAAACAATAAACCTGACTGCAAAGCTCATAAAACAACTAACATAAAAGGACAACATTGATGATTGTGGTATTGTTTTAATTTAATGGGATGCCATGTCATGAGCAATGGGATATATTATAATTGCGCATTTTATAAACATATGCTGGTAGTCAATCATGTATGCTGGTTAATAAGATAAATCTACATGGTTTACAATAGAACCTACGTGTTCATATTCATTCATTATTCAATGCAGTGATTCAATTTTGTATGACTTGTGTTTTTAATTGGTCTATCATGGCTTGCTCTTATGGCCAAAATGTTAACTGCCAAGAAGGACACTACTGTCTTAAAGCTGGAAGGACCTAAAGATTACAAATCATGGAATACAAAATTCTTGGAATGCCACATCAAATGATATCAATTACTTACATATCACAACATAATGGTATGAAATCATAATTTTTGCTTCTTTGTTAAAACTCTGAAAATCATTTACAGTCCTATATCAAATTGCAAATTTCAGACTTTACATTGTTTTAAACCCAAAGTTAAATAATGTTATAACACAAGACTACCTAAAAATAATTTGGACCACTCAATCCTCTGGTCTACATGTTCAATAACATATATTTTGTGAGCTTACTCATCAACAATGGAAAGGCCAATTGTGTGAGTATACTCATCAACAATGGAAAGGCCAATTGTGTGAGTATACTCATCAACAATGGAAAGGCCAATTGTGTGAGTATACTCATCAACGATGGAAAGGCCAATTGTGTGAGTATACTCATCAACAATGGAAAGGCCAATTGTGTGAGTATACTCATCAACAATGGAAAGGCCAATTGTGTGAGTATACTCATCAACAATGGAAAGGCCAATTGTGTGAGTTTACTCATCAACAACGGAAAGGCCAATTGTGTGAGTATACTCATCAACAATGGAAAGGCCAATTGTGTGAGTATACTCATCAACAATGGAAAGGCCAATTGTGTGAGTATACTCATCAACAATGGAAAGGCCAATTGTGTGAGTTTACTCATCAACAACGGAAAGGCCAATTGTGTGAGTATACTCATCAACAATGGAAAGGCCAATTGTGTGAGTATACTGATCAACGACGGAAAGGCCAATTGTGTGAGTATACTCATCAACAACGGAAAGGCCAATAGACTAGATGCCAGTAGAAATAATATTTACTTACGTCATTAAATATTCGAAATTCAGTCAAAGTGATGTCATATTTGAAATCTACATGTAAAAGTACATCTAAAAATATGGTAATTTTTTTTGAAAGAGTGACTTCTAATTCGGGTTGATTCCCCATAGACCCCATGTTACAAAATCACAAAAAGTAAAATAATTTTTCTTGTTTTAGACAGATAACATTTTCTTTTACTGGAGATATTTTAATTTGCATTACTATTAGATACATAAGTGTGATATGAAAATCGAACCACTAAAACAGATTTAATTTAAGTTAAAGGGAACTTTCTACAATACCCGCCATGCTATCTGACCCGAACGAGCCACCTAGTGGTGAAACTGGTAACTACCTACTCGCATGTGTGTTATTGTGTGAGTATACTCATCAACAAAGGAAAGACCAATTGTGTGAGTAAAATGTATACTCAAAGGCAGACTGTGATAAGAAGAGTTAGGTAATAAGATTCAAACTCACAGTATCCTCTCCTGTATTTGTATCTTCTACTGGTTTAGGTTGTTTCTCTACAACAGGGGGTGCTATAAACCCTGGGATGGTCGCCAACAGTATGGCACTCAGCAGTAGGATATGCGCCATGCCGTATCTATAACATATGAATGATATAACAAAGTAAATATAAGACCTATAATAAGCAGTTATTTGAGTTAAACAGTTTGGAACAAGAGCATCTTTTGATTGTTTGCCAGTTTGCCAAATTTTAGTATCCATTATTGTGTAATGTTATATGCAATGTGATCAGTGATGCTTATGTTTTATGATGTTTGAGAAATTTTGTGACCAATTTTATTTTTATTTTTATTCTGTCCCCCACTCTTAGTTCCCTGGAGATTTTAAAAATGAGGGTGATACAAATAATAAGTTTAAATAAGAGGAGGGAAAACCTCATGATTCAATTAATGAGATACAATTTCCTCCTTCGCGCACCTCCTTTTGTCAAAAACTTACCCTCCATCTTGGTTTTCAAAGTTTTCAAATTGACCTTGTTTTAAACCAATCAACGAACGACTCGCTAAACCAATCAGCGACGATGTCATCTCAATACAGATTTACATTATAAGCATATGTCATCTTTGAACCCTGGGGTTTCTCCCCCTCTTAGTTTAAATATTGGATTCGTATCAAATTTTCCAAAATGTTCCACGGGGCAACCATTGGTTACCTCGTTATCTCATGACTTGGTAGGTTGGTGAAGTGAATGAATCTATTACTATCCATATACTGTATATTAAAAAAATTATACAAAAAGGTCTTATTCAGAAGTACTCATCTTAGAAGGGTGTTCAAGTTGAATGGTTTTACTGTATCTCAGCATGTGAAAGTGTCATTGCATAGTGTGTTATAATTGTAATACATTCATGTAATAAATGTGTTATCAACTAAATCGTAAAAATGAAATCTAAATCAACTTGTACCATTTATCCCAATGATTTTTCTTTTTGTTATCTGTGTAACATTTTGTTCTATTTATAGTAATAATTTACTAGAATTGAACATAACAATGAGTTGCATTTCAGATATCATGATATTATAATGCAGATCAAAAAAGAGCATATTAAATGATTTTGAAAAAATGGTTTGAATTTGAGGACAGAACACCTGTTATAGTTCTTCAAAACTTGTATTTATCATGTATGTTTTTGTAAAACTACAAGGCTGTTTACTATACAACATATAGTTTCAGTGTAATCCATACCAACTTCCTTCTTATCTTGTAGATAAACAGAGCAAATTAAATAGGAAATGACAACCATACTTTTCTAAGAACTTTTCTAGAATTATTCAGAATTCTATAAGATTTTACATGTACAATCTAGAGAAGTTTTTAATACACGTAGTTGTATGAATATGAAAGAGATATTTATTATGTTTTTGCCTATCTAATATCTATTTATTTTACACTTGAAGGAAAAAAATATATGCAATGTCTAATGTGTCACAGGAATGTTTTGCCTGAATATATTCCATGTGATGATATGTTTGCAAGGGATAAATATATTTAATACTAAAAACAACATCTCTGAGGCACCATTTCAATTTTTCATCAAAAGGAAGCATCAAAAAACATATTAGATATATCTGGTGAACATGAGGTTTTGATTCTGTTGTAAAATCCATTTCTTTCACATTGATTGTGAGTACATGTAAAAATGTGTGTATTATTAAATCATCAACTGGACAAAGGGAACAAAGTTTGCAAAAAACATCATCACATTTTTTCCTTTTGAGGTCAATTCCAATACCTAGAATTCTTGATCAGCACAGTACCTATCAATCCTCGTATCTGACTTAGAACGTCAGCTATGAATCTGACTTGTTGAACAAATTTGACCTTTGAATATCATTGTGTGCATGTTCTTTTCATAAACATGGTTTTATGTTAAAATTAACGGGTGGGGAACATATCTATTTACTACATGTTTCTGCCCCATTGAGAACCTAATTAATTCATTGTGCCTGCAACGCTGTTGAGTATGCATGTGTGCACAATCAAAGTGGCCAATGCAAGATTGTAGAATGAACAAAATATAAAAATCCAGCCCCATTTTGGAGCAAAATATAACATTATTCAACTGTTTGAACCAAGTAGAGGTACTTTCATATATTCACATACATCAACATTGTTTACAGGATAATTTAACATTAGTTTTGTTTTATATGAATTATTTTGGAAAGTATTGGTGCAGTAGTTAGGAAGGAAATCTTCTGCAACCCTTGTGATTTATTTTCATGTTTTATGAACCTTCAAGGAGTCACATCTGAACAGATACAAGAATCGATATCTAGATCTAATCAGCACAGAGACAGTCGATTATTTCCGTAATAAGATATCTAGTTGCCTACTCTAAATCGTATGTTTACAATTTAATTGATTGAATATAATTGTCTATTTCATACCTCTAATGATAATAGAGTAACTCGAAGGTACGCACATATCCACGGACATCTAATACGCAGTTCTTCGAACTGTGCTGGAACTATATCTATACCAGGACTGGCATCCAGATCCAAGTATTTTTTAAGACCGCCGACTCTCGTTGGGCTATTTATCCCTATTGACTCAGTTGTTCATATAAATTTACGTACCTTAGATGCTTTGTAATCGACGTAGATAGAAAATATTGTTTCCTAAATTGTTCTGGAAAGCGATAATTATAACTAAATGTACTTTGAACAGCTCGACTCACAAAAAAGCCAGGCTTCTGGCACGTCTCGTTCTCGCTCTCAAACAAAACGTGAAGAACGTGACGTCACTTCCGAATCATAGCATTCAAAATAAGTAGCGTTTAATTCCCAACATCATATGTAATATAACGGTGGTCTAGGGGGAGAATTCTCGCTTAGCACGCTGGAGGCCCGGGTTCGAATCCCGTTCTCGCTCTTTTGTTTTTTTTCGAGGTCGTTATCTTCATCGTCTAGTTTACGAATACCAAATGTCGATGTGATGTTTTAATTGATAAATACGAATTCCTTACACATTTCGTTATCTTATTGTGAAATAGCAAACTAAGAGATATCTTTACTCGCTAGGAATTAACATAATATTATTTGAAGCGATTTTAGAAAATTTTGAAACCGCCATCTTGGTAATATTGATGACGTGGTCAAGGTCAGGTCAAAAGTCATCCATCTTGCCATTTGCCCGGCGTTTTCTTACCAGTCGACAAAAAACGATGAAATCACGTTGAAAATAAAATATACACTTTAAAATTGAGGCTGATCGAATATGACAAGACTCCATTGAATACAGCTGTGCAATTTACAGTCACCAAGATGAGCTAATTTCGGAGAGATTCGGGAATTGAAAAAGGTAAGCCCTTCCGGTTTCCCAACTTCATAAATTTAAAATCCCAGAACTCCTTTCGCCAGAAACATTCTCTCTGACTGTGCACATATCAGTGAATCCCAGTGAAGAATGAGCATCATTTTGAGAATAGCCTAGATCTAATTTTTTGACAAAAACATTTTTGTAACTTTGCAATATTGCTCTAGAAGTAGTTATAACTTTTTAAACATGAGAAGTATCCTGCAATATATTAAACATGATATAACAGGTACATTTATAACTATATGTACGATTAGAATTTGATAAGCTTACCTTTGATTTTGACAAAAGTATGGACAAAATTAAAATAGACTTACGTGTACTTGTGAGCCTCGATTTCGTTTCGATTAGTGTTCACATCCGGTTAAAAATAACTTACTTTCACCGCTTTTAAGTAGATAACGGTACTCTATAGTATAATTTATCAACCAAATCACTCACTTATTCTTCCTTATTATTTATGATATTAGTATTGTATATATTTTGGTCATTTTACAGACCTAAAACCACATGTGAATATTTACACATGAAATGGTGACGTCATTATTTATAAGTAGGTCACTTCACAGACGGATGTCATTTCTGAAAAAGTTTTCTGTAATAACTGCAGTTTCTGCTGCATTATTGGCTGCTTTGATAGCATATTTGCAATCTCTTCCTGCTGAGAATCAAGCCTGGAATATAAGGTATGTAAATACCAAATATCTCTTTTATCTCTTGTGGTTTAGACATTTATTATCATGCAAAAACTTCCAAAAATATGTAGGCTAGAAAAATCAAAAATAATTACATGCTCTGAAGTGACAATGACTAAAATGACAATCTTGAGGATCAACTTGACAAGTGTCAAAGTACAGAACACAGGAACCTGAGAGAATATAGCACCAAATATGTATCATAAAAGATCTTCAAAATATGAGACAATTACAAACTTCGTAAACAAGAAAGTGCAAGTCATGATGATTTGTTCTTTCTTGCTAATGGTAGTAATAATCCAAATCAATCAGAATAAATCAGTGCAGAATCATATTGAAAAAAATTCTAGAGAACTCGTCAGATCTCTAGCCAAGTTAGAGACTTGAGCGGGTAATATCATGGACGTACATGTACAGTAGCGCTATTTTCATGAGTAGTGCGCCACCATAGGAACATGAGTTGAGCGAGGAATTTTTGAAGTTTGGTTGTATTTGGAGTTTATTTGTAACCACCTGGTTAGCCTGTGCATACTGGGCGCTATGCCCATAAATATATACACATGCCTATAGCAAAGTGGGTATTGTCAATGCATATAGGGTAGCTTAGGGGCGGGGTCAAAATATCGATGTTCATATGGAGACGAAAGTACTTTCGCGAGGGGGGAGGGGGTTTTTGGGCACTTTCGTTGACCAAAAAAACATCGATAATTCGGATCTGATATACAAAAAATAATTGGACTTACCCACTTTTTCTGGCGCTATGTTCTGATAAAAAGGCTTGTTTTCAATAGTTCGTGAGATTTTTTGTGTGATAGGTCCAAAATATCGGTAGATAAAGACGAAAATTCGATCATTTTTCAAATAAATTCCGTACTTTTCCCTCCTCCTTTTGAAGAGTTCAATGCAGTTAAATTGCGAACGTGTGTAACATGTTCATCAATGTAATCACGGGTTCCAAATCATTTGACAGTCACTGTGACTAGAAAAGTAGTTTGACTTATATACCTATGTACATTTGCGTTCATTTACAGAATGGCTGAATCTGCCCCAGACAACCGAGCCACCCTCAAAGAAGCCAATGAGGGCTGCTTTATTGTTGGATATACTGGTGAGGTTGGCAAGGTCTTAGTGCAGGAGATCCTAAAAAATCAGGTGTTCAAAAGAGTGGTTTTAATTGGTCGACGTAAAGTTGAGTTTGATGATGATGTTATGAAATCAGTGGTGAGTGAAATTCAGTTATATTGAATTTTAATGGGATAGACTTTCATAAGGCAATTGTTACTCTAAAAATATTATAGTTATAACATGAAAAATATCAAACTAAGATTTTATATGTAAAATCTTAATGTACATTTGTAGAATAGGGGAGTATCTCATGTATTTGCATAAACATTTTTGAATTCATGAATTCATGAATCTATTGGATTATGACATGCAGAATTTATATAACAGATCTATGAGGGAGAACATGGTATGCGTCAGTTACAAAATTATTTTCTACATGGTTTTAAATGCAGGAGCAACATGTGGTTGATTTCGATAAACTAGATGAATACAAAGAGACATTCCAAGGGATTGATCAGGGATTCTGCTGCCTTGGAACAACTAGAGGCAAGGCAGGGGCAGTAAGTACAAACTTATACCATTCTTAGTCTATTTAAAGTTGTTTTTAACAAGGGTGTATGTGACATACAAATCATAGACTGGAGAGTGGTATATAATGGAGTTGTTACGTATACAATGAGGGTACCCTTTGCATTCGTTTGACTTCACTTCTTAAAAGAGAGCTTCGTCTTCACTCTTTCAATCTAAAATAAACCTGTGAACTCACCGCGCCAATCAGTGTTCGTCGGCCAAATTTGACTGACGTTCTTTATATGGTCATTCCTTCTAACGTCATCGTTGAGCCCGGAATTGACCAATGGCATGCGCATATTTAATTAGAACGCATTTGGCGTATGTTTCTTCAAGCTCGCTGATTGGCGCGTAGGTCAAAAGTGATTTACCCAAACTGTCACCGGTACCGTCGTGGGGGCGGGGCTACTAAACTGTAATATGGTCTCTACTAGGCAGAGTGTAGTTTAACTAGACTCTGCACGCAGGGTACAATGAGGGTTGCTAATCCAAAAAAATATTTCGTTTTATAAAAAACATGCTTATTGTCAGGGATAGTAATGATTAGTAATATACTATTTACATGCTCTACAAAAATAAGTGTATACGAAGTGGCATGATAAGTTTGTATTAATACATATATGTATGTATAGAATATACAGGGTTGGCCAAAAGTAATACCACATTTTGTTATTTTCCAGAAAGGGTTTGTAAAGGTTGACTATGACTATGTGATGAATACAGCCAGGCTGGCCAAGGAGGGGGGTGTGAAACATTTTCATTTGGTCTCCAGTGGTGGGGCCAACAAAAACTCCTCCTTGCTTTACACACAGACTAAGGTAGATTGGTTTATTTTATTAACTTATGTCACTGTGCTATTCATGTGTTCTCATGCGCCAAATATATTACTACTTCAGTGCATGATTTAGTTTGTCCATAACCAGTTTACCATGTACTTTTGTGGTATTTTCACGAAAATATTGCCAAATGAGTATGTACATACCAGAAAATGGGGAAAATGTAAAAATTAGTTAGTGGTAATAGGCCTAACAAAGAAAAATTATGATTGTATCTCCTGGTCGATGATGAGATTAAATATTTGATTTAGCTTATATTGGTTCCTTCTTTTGACTTTCATTGACCCTCTCAAGGTCAAAAAAGTCAAAAGGTATTTTTCAACTTGCTTCTACGAATTGCACCAATTCTTTATTCAAAATCATCTACATGTTCTCAGAAGTTCAAATTTAACTTTAGATATGACATTTGACCTTCAATGACCTTTTCAAGGTCAAAAAAGTATTTTTCAACTTGCTCCAAATTGACCAAATCTTTTTTTAAGATCAGCTACAAGTTCTCAGAAGTTCAAATATGACTTAAGATTTGGATTCACAATTAGATGGTGACATTTTGTCATGTAGATGCCTTGTATCATGTTGCCATGTTGTGATATTGTATAATATAGTCTGTGTGAATGTGTGGTATCTTGTACACATTACTTATCCAACTTGATATAATTTATCTTTATTATATTCATTTTAGGGTCGAGTTGAGGCTGATGTATCAGATTTAGGTTTTGATAGAGTATCCATCTATAGACCAGCGTAAGTTAATGATATATACTGAATTATTTGATATTATAAAATGTCCCAATTTTATAATATGATAAAGATGAATACAATTTACAAGTGTAAATAATACATTCATGTATTTTCCATGTATTATTTACTTTATTGTTTTAGATTTGGCACCACATATGTAAATTGTGAATGCTTGTTGAAGCAAAATTTAAACCATCTCCTAGTGAAATACAGTTCATACGTACAGTGTAGAACATACATATTTTTTCATATTTTTTTCATATTTTTCATTGTTTGTAGAGTTTTGATGTGTGACAGAACTGAGAAGCGAAGTGGGGAGGGCGTGTTGCGGACTCTACTTAAACCAATTGCCTACTTTGCCCCAACATTAGCGAGCATACCAACAACAACTGTGGCGAAAGCTATGGTCAATATTGCTGCCTCCCCAAAAGAAAAAGATGTAATCATCCTAGAAAACAAAGCGCTTCATCAAATAGCTGGAGCTGCACAATAAAAAGCAAACCATGGGCAAAGAGATGTTTTGACTAAATTTTACTGTTGTAACATTCTTCGTGGCCAAAAGTCAGGAAATTTCAAGCTATGAAAATCCCAAAATGATACCATAGGAAATCTAGCATCTATTTTGCCTACTGGGACTGCTCATTGTATCTCGTTTGTATTATTACCACTACAATACTACACAAAAAGGATAAAATTCACTATATTAAAGAACTTTGTAAGAGCCTTAAGAAAGGAAACTGACACAATTACTTATGCAGTTTTTGCAATGATACTTGTATTTTTCTTGATTTCAAATCAACAATACATGTATTATCAGCGAAATGAAATGCATTTCCAGTTCAGCTAGTCATTTATCAAAGTCCCTGGAACCAGGGAGCACTGGGGAGAGGAATACTGTAGATACACTTAATTTGGCTCCCGTTTTAATTTGACTGATTGGTGGATTCAGAAAATCCACCAAATTAAAAATCTGTCAAATTTCAGTTTGGAATTTTTGTCCAATGCACTTCAGAAATTAAACTCCAGGGGTCCATTTCCTGTCAACATGTCATCAATTCTACATTATTCCAAAAGAAATACAGAAAATATCTTAGTAAACACCTGTCCTAATGACATAAACATCTACAAAAATTAAACTTCAGTCCTGAATCCGCCAAATTAAATAGCCACCAATATTTGAAATTGAGCAAATCCGTTAAATTAAGTAGCGTTAAAATAAGTGTATCTACAGTAAATGAAAAAATGTCAGAAACTGTTATAACAAAAATGCAGCAATATCAAAGAGTGTATTGAAATAGAGTGAAATAACAATGCAAAGCAAATAATAATATGCTTTAAATTATATTGTGATACTAAAACACATTTGTGATATGAATGTTGTATCTGCAGACATACTTGTTAACTTCTTCAGAATTAGAAAAATAGTCATGGAGAAGATATGTGTAGATTGGTAGTAGTGTTAGCAGCACAATTTCATAAATATGTATTCAAATGTCATCCTTCGTTTATGAAATTTTCAACCACCTAATCCTTATACAGAGTAATGCAAATGGAGGACGGGTATTGCAAACGGAGGATGGGTATTGCAAATGGAGGATGGGTAATGCAAATGGAGGATGGGTAATGCAAATGGAGGATGGGTAATGCAAATGGAGGATGGGTAATGCAAATGGAGGATGGGTAATGCAAATGGAGGATGGGTATTGCAAACGGAGGATGGGTAATGCAAATGGAGGATGGGTAATGCAAATGGAGGATGTGGATTGCATTTTAAGCAGGATTTGCTAAAATGATCTATTGTACCATTATATCCTGTTGCCATAATGTACAAAACTCAAACCATGACCTTCAGAATTTGAACCTCGATTGGATTGGATTCTAGCAATGGGAAGATTATGCCATTCTATTTTTCATAATTCAAGTGGCCTTCACCTTTATGTATTTTCCTCTATATAAAATGGCCTCCACCTGTTCACTTCACTATACAATTTTAATGCACACTCAAATGTAGTGTAGTGAAACTTGATAAGTTAACATTGCTAGGGTCAGGTTAAACTTTACAGTGGGACAGTGGAGGTTTAATATATAATAGGTGGGTCTAAAATGTCCAAATGTCAAAATATTACTTCATGGAATTGTTTACTGACTCAGGTTTTATTGCATGTCAAATAATATATATCTGAAATGAATTACAGGGTTGGGGAAATTGTATGTGCATTTTTGCTCCAATTTTATGTGATGTGACATGTCAACAACTTACTAGTATATTATTACCTAATAAAAGATATGACTGTTTATCCTATGCCAAGTAGAGTTTTAGGTAGATAAGTTGGTAAGATATATCCCGTATCCTGATTTTGAGGTTTCCATATCCAGAACCTCCATATCTCCCGCTTCGGTGCATATCTTCCCGCTTCCGGTAAGTAGTGGAAATGCAATACAATGACTTTGCAAATGAATGATTTGATTGTTTTTACACCTTGTACTATTGAAATGGTCATATGCACCTGGAAACCCTACTTGGTATAGGATAAAGCAGTTATGTACGGTAGGTTTAGATATTGGGTTCATCCCTCGTGAGATATGCACATCGGTCCCTCAGGTAGATATGCATATCTCCCTCTGGATAAACCCCATATCCAAAACCTCCAAGTACATATCCCTTATTTATACATGTCTTGTGATAAGGGATAATAATTTGTGATAAAATTAAAATATTCAAACGAATGTGATGAAGTATTTCAAAATTAAAGGAGATTGTTTTATAATCAATTCTATATTCTGATTTCTACTTTTTACATATTATAATGTAATCATTTCACTAATATATTGTCAAGGATTGTGTAATGATGATTAACTATAAATTTTAAATATTTTATAGCTTAATACTATACTGTATTAAACATTGTATATTGTATGAATTTACCTTATAATGGCATAGTAATAATATCAATGCTTCTGGCATCAGCCAAATGTCCAGATTGGCAGGTGTTAACATGGCATGAGGAAATGATCAAATTGAGGGGTGTTCAGATTAGAGCTGGGGTGCTCAGCTATACAGATTTTTAATATGTTATATTATGTATGTCATATGTTATATTTGTCATCATATTGAAATAAAAATTCAATTTATAAAACTCTATGTAAAAATAAATAGTGTTAAAAATATCAATGTTCTTTTGTTTCATTAATATTAATAAGTGTATTATTAGCTAGAGTCCTATGCAGGATGGAGTTTATGATAAGAGCATATTGTGCAAGATCATTTCATTGGCTAGTCACTTTTTACGAACAGAAATAATTTTGAAATATGATTGCTTCGTTTAGTTCATGTGTAACTCCCAGATTCAAAATTGAATACTTACAAATAAGCTATCGTCATTGAGTACACATAAAATGTTCATCTTATGTAAAAGTTTTTGTCTTTGTTTGTCTTTGTTATTCATGTTTAGTGCAAGGAAAAGTATCAATGGTCCATTAAAGTTGTGTGTGCCACATGACTCAAACAATGAGACAGTTTGACTCCTATGACTTGGATCATCCGGGGAAAGTACATTAATAATGATGACCAGATAAATAATTCAAAATGCTTTAATTCATTGAGTAATATCTAGTGATGTTAAATGGAACAGGAGATTGACCTGATAGAAGAGCAGCTTTGGAATGTTTACAAAAATGGAACACCTTGTTACACATGCCAAACCCCCCTTCATTATGATGTTAAGTGGACTGCCCCTTTTTCAGATTTTAATGGGCATGAAATAGTTAAAGAGAGAATCAGATATAGCGAGCAGGCCAAACAAAAAATCGTTTCAATTTTAGAATATTTTTGGCTCATGTCATTCCTTGTCCTGTCTAATTTCTAAAAATCACAAAAGTGCATACTTTATTCCAGGAAAACTAAAGATTTTTACAATAATGTATTATTTTTCTATAAGAATGGTTACCTTTCTTGTTATTTGGGAGAATTTAAACATTTTTCACCCATTTTTGCACTTTGAATCATTAATAACTTCACCAATTCATAACATATTGTGAATCTTTTGGGAGATATTGTATTTGTATAATAATTTGATCAGAAGAATAACTAATTATGAGCTTTTGGATCTGTATATCTACATGCTTTAGACCTCTCCATAACTTGATAGGGTTTTACAATACAATGTTGAGATATAATTTTAAGTCAACCTTTGGACATTGTCAATATGGTTAAATATCAAAACCAAAACAAACAAAATGACATCTTAGTTGGTTTATTATTATATATTTACATATATGCATTTCATCAATTCCTATTTGAAGCATTTAGAACTAGACTTGTATTGGGCGGTACTTTGAACAACATATATATAATATCTCTAACATACTGAGATATCTAGTGCCAGATATACATATTTTACAACATTCCTTCTACTTCTTACATTCATTTAACAGATTCACTTTCAAATCAGAGGAAAGATGAAATCCAATTATTCTAATTCAATTAATACTTGACAAATTCATGATGAAAATTGATTTATACATATGCTCATTTTTTGCTCACAAAAACCTAGTGTATCTTACTGGGTTTCCATAGGATGGGGAAGCAGTCAAAAGATCAATATTATTTTCAGAAATTTATTTTCAAAGGCCATGAATGACGAATTCTGATCTAAAATATATAACTTCAATTTGTTTGAATTCATAATGATCTGGTTGCACCATCAATAGACACAAACAAGTTATCTCCCAGCATTAGAGCAAATATGTGCAGTACCCAGTTAAAAATATGAAAATGACATGCCACCGAGTTGAAAATCTATTTGCACTTGTCAACAGTGTGACATAATGAGATAATTTGGCCAAGAACAGATGGAATGAGGATTTAGTTGAGAAAATATCTTGGGGATATCACTGCTTCAACACTATCAAAAATTGCTCATCAAGTTCCAAATTGAGATTTCTTTACCACTCTTTATTTTTTTCAAATTTAAAATGTAATTTATGTTATCTCTATCAAGCTTTGGTAAAAACAGAAAGAGATGCCTTTATCAAAGTCTATTGGTGGTACAAGCTAACAATGAAATCAATTACTCTTGCATGTAGTCTTATTGTAATTAGAACTATTGTAATTAAAACTATTGTAATTAGAACTAACACTTGAGACAATATGCACATCAAAGTCTCTTCAAATGTTTGATACATTTCTGCATTTTTGTATATTAACCATAACAGACAAAGCATAGGTTTCTGAGATTATATTGAACTATTGACAACTTGCTTCCCTTTATGTATTTGGAATAACATGATCTTACCAATGATATAGACTACTGTACAAATCTTCAGTTCATAGCAGGACATCCACAGTGATGCATTTTAAGTAACACAGTCCCCTGTATAGTGTATAAATCTTGAAGATTTTCCTTAAATTGGCAAGTCTGGGATTTCTCTATCTTTGATTTACAAATTATTAATATTTAATATTTCATTTGTTTTGAAAATACACCAGTGAACAGAATTAGAATTTACAGTTAAAATCTATAACAAAATCATTCCAAAGTTTTCTACATGATACCTTAAATAGAAAAATGTTTTTCATAATTTTGCCTCCCAAGAGAATAATAATGAATATAAGTGAATTAGAAAAAGATCCACATTACTAAGTGGCACTACCGATAATTGAGATGAAATGGTAAGTCATATTTTGTGATCTTACAATTGGTAGTACAAGTATTGATAATAATAATTAGTCTTTACTGTTTAGATTTATGAGGTAAAAATGACAAATGAAATGATTAAGCTAACATGTTCAAAAACAAAGACAATTTTCCCTATTCTGAATTTGGAATCAAAATTGAAGACAAGACCATAATAAAAAAGTTTAAACTTTAAATAAATAGTTTTAATAATAATGAGCCCTGGTGGCAGACTGGTTGAGTGAATCAAAAGATGACTTATCCCAGTCAATCATGTGTATTAGCAATGCTTTTCATTGCATCTACAAATCATTTCATTCAAAAATTCTCATTAACAATTCATAGTTCATCAGGTGTTTTTCAAAGATATACACATATTGTCTTGTCAATGATAATACACAATTTGGCAATGTTAAAGTTCAATTTTCATCTTTACCATGAAGATAAATTGTATCTCCTTCTAAGTTGACTATATCAATCTCTAAAATTCAACAACCATATGGAACAATTTACTATTTGTCTTGTATTCAAAGTCTGCATACTACATCTCTAGTAGCTCTCATATATGAAAACATCATAATAGCCAGGTATCTTCTAGCTTTTCCCCCTCCCCTGATGTGTTAAAAACACAAGCTACCGAATCAACAGGGACTAAGATAACTCATTCCTTTAATATTAATACACAACGAAAATCCACTTCTGTTTTTCCAAACCAAGAAAATTCACGGCTATTTGGTGCTCACAATTAGGCCACCTTGAGTAATGAATGTTCTATATGTGCTAGCACACAGTGTACTGGCTGCCAACATTTAATAGACTCTTCACAACATTAAAGTACAATATTCAAATACACCACGCACAGACACAGTGCTGCCACCTTTAAGATTAAACTGGAAGCACTGTGTCTGCGTGCTACAACCAACAAAGTATTAAACAACAACTCAAAAAATCCATAAAAATCAAAACTTACAAATTACTATCAAAAAATGCACATATAAAATCCATATTACACCATGTACTCATACGTTGTAAATATATAAACTGACAAATGATTACTATGACAACAGTTAGATGGGAAACGGATAAGCATTACATCGGATCCCCAGATACAGCGTCATTTCAATTACAAATTGCACTTCTTTAATAACTGTTCACAACAAAGTGTGCTATATATCTGTCTGCTCTGGGTAAGGGCCAACTGTTCTAATACATAAAATCCCTTCATTCAGATTTATTGTTCCTCTTTGTTATAGCCCTCTGTGGTATCCCAACACACACTGATTCACACAGAGTATTGACTCCCATGGGGCACAAGTGTAACTAGCCTGAACATCAGGCTGTTTTTGAAAATAAATTCTTCAAGCTTTTTCATGGATAGTGTACTCCATGTTAAGTTTTCAGTTGCAATGTCAAGCCATTGTACCCTACTGACCAGCTACAGTGTCTTGGACCTAAGGCCAAAGTGCCAATGGGATACAAGTCATACAACATGCTGCAATTATTAGCATGCGAGTGTAGAATGGTCCAGTCAATTAAGTGCCCAAGGCTGTAAGATGGCTATCAATACAGACCCTGGATATCTAGATCCAAGGGGGCCATCAAACATCACCATCCCTTACTAATACATAGACTTTTAGATATAGCTAGAACCTTGGATCTGGCCAGCTAAATCTACTGGGTGGTATTATTTGCCAACCCAATACATAGAGAATCTTCCTCATACTTCCGGTGTCCTTTAGACATAAATAATACATGCCCTAACTTAGTGGTCCTTCCACTTATTGCAGTACAATTCCAGGAATTTATTCCATATAAGGATGCGGCTTAGGCAGTCTATTCCTAATATGGTGTCTACTTCCAAATATGTCATAATTTGGTGTCTGCTGTGGCAGTTCATTCCAAATGGTGTTTCTCAAGGCTGTATATGGCCCACTAAGCATTATTCACATTTGGCAATAAGGTCCTTGTACTTTGAGGTACTGAAAGTAAAAAAACATCAAGATATTAATAAAATTAAAAAACAGCATGAACAGGACACTTATTGCCCATTACTCATTCGAACTATTGAAATATAATGTAACTCATTAACCAGAAATTAAAATAAGAAAATCTATGATCAAATACTTTTTGAAACGTTTCATTGCACCAAAAAATGGTGAAAATCCTCAGGCTTCGACTATCAAGTATCAGATTAATGTTGAGTATCAAACTTGAAACCAATCTAAGTTGAGTATCGAGCAATGTACCTGAATAACAAGTGAAGGTCCTCCAGCTACAATCTCTGTAGGGATAACACTGAGCGGACAGTTTTCAATGCTCATGATCTGTAGCTTGGCACACAATGCCAGGTCAAAGGGCAGGTTGTGCAGGTTTGGGTTGTCATTGATGTACAGTGACTCTAGTTGCATCAGGGACCCTAAAACATACATAGCACATAAGGTTTATATTTCCACCAGTGGCTGGAGAGGGATTGTTTTAATAAATACATGTATATAGGATTTATTTTCATAGAAAATATAAATCTGTTTTACATAAACATATTGCAGCTTTGCAATAAAGTGAAAATAAAAAAAGTTAATGAATTTTCCACCAGTAATATTTTCCTTTTATACACTAGTTTCAAAAAATAGAAATAAATAGATGAAATAAATGAGAATGAATTCTCGAAATCGTTGTTCCCTCTTCAAAAGAGAAGACGCGAAAATCTTTCCTTATAAGGGCAAAATATTTCCCATGATGCAGTTCGCGAAGGAACAAATTTATACTTATTTATTTTCCCTCATAGGTTTAACATGGGGATTTTCACACCTATTTTGCAAACGATATATTCGTTCATATTCCCATACGAGAGTACAGAAAAAATTATTAGAAACGATTGATCTCTCATTAATCCTAATATAACAGCTATTTTTTTCATTGTTTTAATTCATAGCGTGGTGAAAACGATGATTGAAAAGTGAGAAAATATTCCGGAAGAGAAGGTCACATGATCAGTAGACTAGTCGCCATATTCGAAAAAACAATTCCATTCGACTTTCAATACTTTCATGCCAATCTTACCGCACTACAAACTGCGACATCGATGCAACAACTGAATAAAAGTATTCATCTTCAAATTACATTATAGAGTTACGTTGAAAACCCACAAACAACTGAGCAGTAGACCAAAGAAGACGTGTCGCTATTATCTAGATCAATCTGTTCAGTGGTCCGAAAACAAATCTATAGTACTCGTTTCCGAATTTTCTTGTTCATTGTACAATCTTTTATTGATTAAACTCGGTATACTGACTATTAAAGCAATGACAAAGAAGAATACTTACGATGGTGTCATTGTTTTATTTAGCGTGCGTGTGTAAAAACAAAATTGAGTAATCTAGTTTGATTTAGAACTTTCGTGTCACGCAAATAGCTACACGAAATGCATAGTGGGAAAATATTGACCAATCAAATTTTGTCCTTTTTGAGTGCATATTTGCGAACATTCTGATTCAAAGAGCGAACCGCGAAAAGGTGAATTCAAGATACAGTTTGATCCAATCTACATCCTAGACATGAATCAATGGTGTTGCTTACTGCTGTTTAATCACACTGACTTTTCAAATAAAAGACTGACCTATGTCATCAGGTATTGACGTGAGGTTATTCTCTCCGGCACCCAGATATTGTAGATTGTTAAGGCAGCCAATAGCTCGAGGCAAAGCAGTCAGCTGATTGGCCTGAACAACTAGGCGTGTCAAATCCTTCAAAAAGCCTATCTCTGGAGGTAAAGATTCCAGTTTGTTCTCTTCCAGGTCAAGAACACGCAATTTCTTTAAGTTTCCTATAGTTGGGGGTAGCCTCTGGAAAATGGGAAACCAAAAATATGTCAATCAAAAAGTAAATTACGTTTTTATATCATGAAGTACTATATAGGCCAATTTCACCAAACTTAATATTTCAAGTTTTTATGCATTGTCATCATTGCAAATTTTATATAGCATTAGTAAACTTAACGTAATTCTTGTTAAAGCATTTGTAGGTATATTATTCATCTGACCTCCTAATATACGATGGAGTATAAGACAAAGAACTCCTTTAGATATGTATAAATGATTTGTTCCAGCTGGAGTAATAGAGCACTATAAAGCTGAATAGAATGAACTTACTCTCAAAAGATTGTTACTGAGTATTAGAACTTCTAGGGCTTGTAGGTTTTGTATATCATCTGGGATCTTTGAGAGTTGATTTGTACCGAGATTCAACTCGACCATCTTTACCCAGCTACCAATATCTAGGGGAAGAGAAGTCAGTTGGTTGTCCTTCATGTTTAGACGTGTCAGGTATTCTGCCCGGGAAAATATTCCGAATGGGACTTTGTTAACCTGGTTGTGTTCCATGTTGATGGACTGTAATAAAATTGGGAGAAGTGAATTAAACTAAGCATACAATTCACTTGTTTTCCAAAGTAGTACGAGATTTAAAACTTATGTGAATGGAACAATAAAATTGAGAGAAGTGAATTAAACTAAGCATACAAATCACTTGTTCTCCAAAGTAGTACGAGATTTAAAACTTATGGGAATGGAACAATAAAATTGAGAGAAGTGAATTAAACTAAGCATACAAATCACTTGTTCTCCAAAGTAGTACGAGATTTAAAACGTATGTGAATGGAACAATAAAATTGAGAGAAGTGAATTAAACTAAGCATACAAATCACTTGTTCTCCAAAGTAGTACGAGATTTAAAACTTATGTGAATGGAACAATAAAATTGAGAGAAGTGAATTTAATTGAGCATATGATTTACTTGTTTTCCAAATTAAGATATTTAAAACATTCACAAATGGAACACCTATGGGATATCTAAGTGTTCACTTTGGAGATGTTCCATTTACTAAGGTTAATTTCTAATATCATGTCAATCATTCATGGGACTCTGAAAGGTATAATACTTCCAGATTAAGTAACCTTACTTATGTATGTTACATTTTTTTCATTATATAGAGCCATCATATTTGTGAATACTTTTTCATAAGAATAAAGTCAACCCAATGCATTATAATGTGTAAGATATCATTGAGGTTTTAGTCCTTGTATGTATTTCAAACCTGACTATTAAATGAGGTGAGAAAGTTGAATGTACAAGTATTTCAAGTGTCTGTTACCACACCGAACATTAAGGTGACTGCAATTTTACCTGAGTGGCTATAAACTGCGCTGGTCCACCAACTGGGTATGACTGGAACGCATTCCGCGATAGGGTGATATTCGTTAAGTTGACTAAACTAGCTAATAATCCCTCCTGAAAACAAAACACACAGCGATAAATATCACACTTTTATCAAGAAATTAAAAGTGGCAACCAAGTTATTTCCCCAGCATGCCAAAATCCTTACCAGTTCTTGGCACTTGTCTGCATCTATATAAAATTGAAGATGAACAGGTTAACATAAGCTCATGACAACGACAATGTAGCACTTAGAAAAGGTGTTATAGATGATATACATAACAATATTCTAGGGATATTTGGTTTGATATCTGCTACTTATGTTCTGCCATAAAAATATTGAAATTAAATTCACTTAACACTGGAAATATGTCAAAATAACTGAACACATGGTAATTTCATAATATCATTGAATAACATGGTAATTTAAGAAGGGAACATTGGACAGGACTGGCATGAATTCAAGCAAAATGAATTCTAAATTCACAATGTCATCAACTAATTTCTGTAAAATCGCTTCTTAACAGAATATGTCTTCAATACTTAAAGATATTCTAAAAAGATGACATTTGCTTCACTGTATTTTTCAAATCGTATTGTGTGGCAGTTGTTTTGTAAGTTTTAATAGTTAAATTGCTGCAGTTCACTCATTTGCAATTTGAGTTTTGTTTCGTATTGAAGCACATTACTTACTGGTAGAAGTGATATGCTGTTCCCCTCAACATTAAACTCGTCCATATAAACACAGTTGGCCAGTGACTTAGGTATGCTATTGAGACGATTATACCTGAAATACACAAAATATTAAAAAGATTCAAGATTTTATTGAGTTTCAAGCCAAACAATTGGGTTCCTCACAAAATCAGTTACAGTTATACAGTAAAATGCATTGTTCCAGTTGAAAGAGGACGTTATAAAAATATTCCTAGGGAAAATAGGTTTTGTGATTTATGTGGTAAAGGAATAGGTGATGAATTTCATGTCATTTTAGAATGCAAAGCTTTAAGTTATATTAGAAAAAGATACCTTCCTAAATGTTATACCACAAGACCAAACACACAGAAGTTTGAGAAATTAATGAACTCAAACAAAAATATACTCATAAAACTTTGTAAATTTTTAATCGAGGCTGGGCAAAAAAATGTTTTTACATGTATATAAATGTTATTTTAATGTTTGTTACTGTATTAGTTAAGTTTGTCTTTTGTACTCTTATACCCTATAAGGGGTGAATTGAGAAATCAATGAATTTAATAAATATTTAATAAATATGACTATCATACAAACTAGGTTATTCCTTTTTCAAATAGCTCCCGGTGTTAATTGAAAAGTTTATCTGTAAAATGTATCAAGTAGTTTACAATTTCATAATCATCAGAAATCACTTAAATTTTTTTTCAACAATCCTTCATTGAGCTGATGAGCAGAAAACTTCATTAAAATATTCTTGAAAGTTCATGTCTAATACATTTAAAAAATGGATTTGACAAAATAGATCAAAATTGGGATTGGGAATCATTTAGGTAAAGTTGCATAAACACAACATATTTCAGAAGTTAATTTATCTAATTAGTAAGTTTTAAATTCTATTCCAAATATTTCCCCAAATGTTAAGTTTTTTGAATGAATTTATATTCTCTTGTCAATATCCTTACCTAAGACCTAATCTTTGTAGAGACTTCAAGTTGCCAATGGACTCAGGAATATCCAGCAATTCATTGTGCTGGAGGTCTAAATTGTTTAGCTGCACACAATTACCAATTTCTGAAAATATTTTTAATACTTTATCAAATCCAGGCATGTAGTCTGTAGGGGGAGGGGGAGCGAAATATTTTAAAATCTGAACCCCTTTGCCAAAAGCTGGCTACAGGCCTGACATTTAGGTCAGACAACCGTTACATCCTGAAAGACTTCATCTCAATATTAAGAAATCAGGTGACCCCAGAGCATGTACATCCTATTTTTGCAAATACAGGTCAGGCGTGTGCTGCTATTTTCTCTAATTTCAAATATTAATCCTTTGCAGAGGAGTATGTGAACTGGATAAGTATGATTACTGACTAGGTTAGGGTATTGCACCTTATGACATTGTTTTTCTATTCCATCATCCCACTGTAAATTAATAATAATACTATTACTAATATCAATAGACATCTATAGCAAAACATCTGTCCATTTTTGATTCTTATAAAATGACATTCATCATCATCAATAAAATGCAAAAAATGACATGTAAACTTTTTGCATTTCTATATAATTTTTGAGTTAATCCATATTTCCTTTCTCCCTGATTTGTTCAAGGTACTCAGCTTTGACTCATTTGGTTCTGATGGAAGACAAACATGGTTATATACATTCTGGGAAATACATCTGTAAGACAAGGCATTGACATGCAAACTGCCATTTGTTACAGATGCCAGCTGAATGCCAAAGACCAACTGCAGTCCACAAAAAAGTTGGGGACTATAATAATATGTCAACACTCGTGGTTGTGACATCGAAACAATGATCACATAATAATAATAATGTACAGGGGTCCGTTTTTGGAAGCATATTAACTTACGATAAGGTTGCAAGTTTTATTGGAATCATACATAACAATTAACGATCCCACCAAAAAACGAACCCAATAGACTTAGTACTCACCATGTGGCAGGTGCTCAAGATGATTGTGACTGACATCAAATGTCACTAAATGAACGAGTTGACCTATGCCTGTTGGAAGTTCTCGAATTTTATTTTCCCGCAAACTTAACATAGATAAATGCTGAAAAACAAAAGCACATAACAGACATGGTTTATATACAAAGGTGTCATTTCTACACTTTAAGATGATCTAAAGAACACTGCAGTTTGATGTCAAATGTACATCCAAGTCAGATGTCAAATGAACATCTTAGTCAGAGCATGCTGCCATTTATGTATTCATATATTCAGGCTGGCCAAAAAATGCTACTCCTATTATAGTACTGCACAATCAGAATGGTTAACATTTTTTGGCCCACCTTGTACATTAAAAAGCCATGCCATCAAAAATTGATACATCACAGTGAAATTGCAGTAGTTTTATAACTACCGGTATATAATAATAAGAATTGCTGACCTCTTTACATTGTTGTTGTTCAAATTTTCATTCTTTGATTTGTTCCAGTACCACAGTTCCACAGTACCAACTCAATATTTACTCTTATGACTAATTTATATGCCTATATATGGGTATGTAACATTGCAAGGTGAAGAATTTATCACTTACTGTAAGATTTCTAATTTCTTCTCCAACTATTTTGATTCTGTTGAAGCGTAGAAATAATGTGGTAAGTGAAGTCAATTTGTACACTACCTCAGGAATCTAGAAAAAATATAAATAGATTCAGAAGTAGTTCTTAATCTAACTACTTGTTAATTTAGACCCAAATTTTTGATAATGAAATTATTTTTAGCTGAATTAAGTATTTTAAGAGCCTTGTTTGTTAATCTGAAATACTTCATGGTTTGATATTGAATGTATTTTTGGAAAAAGAAAACTATTTTAAGGATCCTTAAGAATTTCACACAAACTCATCATGTTATACTTGAGTTGTAAGGTAACTGTAAAATTATAACAAACTATTTATTTTGATGCTTTGTTAACAAGTAGTTTTACAAAAAAGCTTATTTTATTTATTTAAGAGGAATTTTAGGTATAACCTAATAATTACAAAATCCTTCATTATGTAGCTTTTTTGTCAAAATGCTTCCTCGCAATGCAATTTCACCACACTGAGTAACAGGTAGCTGCTATATACCTGCCATGCACAATTGTAACAGTGAATACCAATAGACACGTTAAATGTGATACTTACTTCATTAAGCTTGTTATGTCTTAAATCTAGCACTCTCAATTGTTTTAAATGCTCCAGTCTTTCAGGCAGACTAGTTAAAGAATTCTCACTAAGGGCCAGTGTCAATAAATTTGAACAATATCCTATCTCTGCTGGTAGACTTGTTAGTCTGTTCCCATACAGATATAACTCTGTCAGTTGAGTTAATTCTCGCACTGAGCTCGGCAATATACTAATCTGGAAGAAAGAAATACATTGCATCTGAATAGTAAGATCACATCTTCTAGTGCATACTGCATACAGTAAAGGACTTGAGTATCATCAGTTATTGTGAAATTAAATTTTATACTGAGCAAATCCCAGTAAACAAAACATATTTTATCAAATCACTTATTTTTTATTTCATATGACAGGAAAAACCAATTTAATTGTATCACTTTCAAGCATGCAGTTGTATAATTGGTCAAAAGCAGGTCAAAGAATATGAAACAAATAATTCATTCTATGTTGATGATAGCTACGGTACTTTCACAAGATGATATTCCACTAAACCTTATGTCTTCATGACATATCACTTGAGAATGATTCACATGTATCAGCTCAATAAAACTAAATATTTGTTAAGTATGGAGTCATTATAACATCACATAAATTAATAATTAATGTACCTATATATATATAAGGGTTATGTACTGGGAGGTCTTGGATATGGGGTTTATCCAGAGGGAGATATGCATATCTACCTGAGGGACCGTAGGGACCGAAGGTAGATGTGCATATCTCACGAGGGATGAACCCAATATCCAAACCGACCGTACATAACTGCTTTATCCTATACCAAGTAGAGTTTCCAGGGGCATATGGCCATTTCAATAGTTCAAGGTGTAAAAATAAACAAATTATTCATATGCAAAGTCATTTTATTGCATTACCAGAAGCGGGAAGATATGCACCGAAGCGGGAGATATGGCGGGAGATATGGAGGTTCTGGATATGGAAACCTCAAAATCAGGATACGGGATATATCTTACCAACTTAGCTCCCTAAAACTCTACTTGGCATAGGATAAATCACTGCATGTTTGTTGGTTTGGGTTAAACCCTGTGCTTTGACATATCACATTGATTATATTCTATTGTCTCCTTAATGGTACGTTCACACCAACGGCGCTTTGATGGCGCTTTAAAGCGGCTTGTAAAGCGGCACCAAAGCGTAACAAAGCTTAATTAAAGCGTCGGGGTCGTAATAGGTCGTAGAAAAGCTCGGGAGTAAAGCGGGATATTCGGCAAGAGCGCTAAAAAATTTAAACTGTTTAAGCGTTCGCACCAACGGCGCTTTGATGGCGCTTTAAAGCGGATTGTAAAGCGGCACCAAAGCGTAACAAAGCTTGATTAAAGCGTCGGGATCGTAATAGGTCGTAGAAAAGTTCGGAGTAAAGCGGGATATTCGGCAAGAGCGCCAAAAAATGTTAAACTGTTTAAACATTTTGGGCGCTCTGTTACGAATTGATTGAAGCGCCGAGAGCGTATCAAAGCTTAACAAACCGTAACAAAGCTCAACAAAGCTTGACTCAAAGCGTAGGAAAGCTTAACACAGCTTGGTTCAAAGCGGGGACCCCAGTCTATTCACGGTCTGTTACCACTTGACACGCTTCGTTAAGATGTCTCAAGATTTGCTACGATCTGGCATGAAGATCTGACACGAGGTCAGACGCTTTCATCAATATCTGACACTCTTTGTTACACTTTCCTGACGGACTCTCAAGCTTTCCAACGAATTGAGACGCTTTAATCAAGGATTGAAACGCTTTGCTAGGCTTTGTTACGCTTGAAAGTTTTCACACGCTATATCACGCCGTGCGACAAACGTCATGTCTTCTTCAGATAGGTCATGCTCTGGTCCATCTGGAATTTCTGGATCTCGTTGTTCTGCCATCGTGTTCTCGAGTCAAAGATGCAATGGTTTTATGGATCTACTGCATCTTTATATAGTCATTGGATCAAAAGCGGCATGGAATCGGCGATCTCGACATTTTCCAATGCGTGACAGAGCTTAACAGAGCGTAACAATGCACAACAGAGTTTTGCAATCGTATCAGAGCCTGATTTAAAGCGTCATAATATCAAAGCGTAATAATGCTTATCAAAGCTTTTCAAAGCGTGATTTCAAGCGTAACAAAGCCTGATCAAAGCGGGATCAAAGCGTGAGGAACCTTTTAGAGCTATGTTAAGCTTTCCTACGCTTTGGATCAAGTTTTTCTGAGCTTTGTTACGGTTTGTTAAGCTTTGATACGCTCTCGGCGCTTAATCGATTCGTAACAGAGCGCCCAAAATTTTTTAAGAGTTTAAAATTTTTTGGCGCTCTTGCCGAATATCCCGTTTTACTCTGAGCTTTTCTACGACCTATTACGACCCCGACGCTTTAATCAAACTTTGTTACGCTTTGGTGCCGCTTTACAAGCCGCTTTAAAGCGCCATCAAAGCGCCGTTGGTATGAAGAAAAATGACAAAAATGACGGCGCTTTGCTCGCCGATTTAAAGCGTGGCATTCGCCGTTGGTGTGAACGTACCTTTAGGAGAAACCTCTCAACCAAATAGCAACCACCCAACCTAATGTCATTTACCTAAGTCACCATGACCTATGTATGACCCCAGCCTCATTTTAGGATTTTCATCCTACCCTCATCTATAATTCTGAGAACTTACTTGTTGTCTACTGAGGTCTAATCGTTTGGCACCTTCTTCTCGACATCGTTGAAATTCCTTAGATACATCCTGCAAAAAATGAAGTACCATGTGACATGTTTTTCAATGTATACTCAGATATTTTACATTAATCTGATAATTTTACTTTTGCGGACTCTAGGATGCAAAAAATAATCTATGGGAAAATTACATGCAAGGTTGAAAATCTACAATGATTTAGCATCAGCAATCATAGCAGTTTCATTTATTTTCTCCACCAATGTGACCACTTACAGTTGAGGCCGAGTCAAAATAACAAGTTTCTAATTTAACGACTTTCTGAGTGTATATTGAACCGATTTACGTCATTTCAAACTCATTGAAAGCTAAAACTTTTAACTTCTCAATACTAAGAAAATAACAAAACGACCTGACTCTACCCCACCACACCCCATCTAACACCGATTTGTATTAGCAGTGATCCTTGATATAGTTGATGAGTCTGGTGAAACATGAAGACCACAGAAGATGAAGAAGATGAACTACATCTTTAGCAGAAGTTTATTGAAGTTGTTTAAAATGAAAATTATGTTCAAAGTCAGCTAAACTTGTTATGACGCACACATCTGTCTAAGACAACGGATGTTTGCTTTGAAATATAGAGTATCGGAAAGACATGATAGAAAGACGTGACGAAGGGTTGTTTTACATTCATTCAAAACATGTCTGTATATTATGAAGAAGTAAACGCTGTGACCTACACCTTGTTAATTATATATAAAAGGACAAAGTGCACTCTTAGCATGAAGCTCACAAGTGCATTTTGTTGGTTTTGAAATTTTTCATTTTAACATTTGGGCTATATATTTCAATATTTTGATCACTCTAATAATTATGTTCAGACAAACCCAATGTCCACTTACTACAGATTTTTATGAAAAATGACACCATTCTCAACATCAATTGCTCCATATATATCAATTGATTTGTCAAAAATATGAGATTTTGATTTCTCCAAAATGGGGCAAAGCTGCATTAGTATGCAACCCTTAACTCCTTCATGACTGAAAAATTTGGGGTAAATGGAAAGAAATGAAAAACTGAAATGTAAATGAATCTAGAAGCAAGAAAAGGAAGCAACACCCAATAAGTTATATGTCATTTTGAAGGGCTATACCCATACTTTATGTTTTTTGAAAAAAAATATGAATATGCAAATGAAATAGTGTCATTGTGACGTCATAATTCAAGATGGCGCAGTTGGATTTTTTTCAAAATGGAATTATTTTAGCATTTAATTTTTTATTGAGACTTCAATTTAAAAATCTGAAAACTCAGAATTATAGATCTTCTTATGCTGATTTCTGTGGTATTTGTACTATGACATAACTCCTACAAATAAATTTTTTAGAGCTTCGAGACTGCAAATTCTCGGAAAATCCCTATGGCAATTTAACATGGGATTTTATCGTTTTCGATACTTTTTCGCGACATGTCAGATTCAAGTGCCTCTAACTTTGCACAGAGTCATCAGATTCAAACAATCTTTTTTTTAAAATGTTCCTACTGGTCCATTCTTTTAGAGAATGCATTATTCTTGCAGTTTTATTGAAATAAGGCCCCTGGAGACCCCTTAAAATAGCAAAAACCAAAATCGATCATATATGATCGATTTTGTTCTAAGGGGTCTCCAAGGGACCCCTGATGATAAAAATGCATGATTTATCAATTTATTTAATCCTGAAGTCTGTACATACATTTTAAAAAAAAGTTCATGACTTTTCAATAAGTATTTACAAAGTTACAGTGATCCGAAGCTGGTGAGCGCACGAAAAATTGCAACCCTTAATGGATGAACATCTCTTCAGATTAATGAAAGGCAGTTTGCATCTGTCTAAAAATTGTTGATGGAGGGATAGATGGATGGACAGACAGACAGATAGAAGGACAGACAGAAGGACAGGCATATACCTGATACCAGAGAAAGTTGTATTGCTACAATATTTTAGTTTAATAGACATAATATGAAGCGATTTTTGTGACTGTTCAGGGGTTTCACTAGAATTTCTCACAACAGGCTAAATAAATGAAAACAGGCAAAATTATGGAAATCAGATTATTAACATGGAAAAGTTGAAAAGTCCCTAAAAACAACAGGCGATTTTGTGAAAATTGGTGAAAATCGCCTGTTGCCTGCTGCTAATGAAACCCCTGCTGTTAATGAGAGAGATCCCGATCATACAAGTCTCAACTTTTTGCAACTTTTCTTTTTTTTGAATCACAATTTAAGCAAAACCCTCGCGCAACTTTTTGGAAAAAATTCCAACTTTTTCTGGTGTCAGATAGTCTATTCTAGAGATCTCAACAACAACAATTTTGCATCAATTTCTTGTTTAAATCTTATCAAAACATTTCTTGTTTAATCATATAAAGATGACCACATTCAGTATGAACCTCATCCTTTTCATTAGCCTTCATTATTAATGCAATTATGACATTGTACTTGTCCTTGAATTTGGCAGAATTCCTACAAAAATATTAATATCTAAAATAACATTCAGAACAGATTTCCAAAGGTTTCCAAGGTTCCAAGGTTTTATAAGACTGCTTTATTAAAAAGGCACTTAGTCTTTGTCTAATGTTTATAAAAGACAAAAATAAATTATACAAATTTCAATCCAGGTTTATTCAACATATTCACACTGATGTCTTTTAGTGCTTACCTTTGAGGTATATTTATCAGATTATAATTTATTTATTATCAGATTATAATGGGGATGCCAAAATATGTCACTCTTTAAAAAACGCTGAAATTCCATTGTCTTTCAGGCTCTATTTTCAGCAATATTGATGTCACAAGATTACGATTTTCAGTTTGAATCTGGTGCCATTTACACGATTTATGATGAAAATCAAGGGAGAACAAATATTTACTCGATTTGTTACTAAAATTCCACTTGCTGATGGAATGATGTCATACTAGGATTATTACGTAAATATATGCAAAAAAATAAACTATTGAGCAGTATTTAACTTTAAAATACATGTACATCCTATGATTTGAAAGCCACCATTACTTCAACTTCTGTTTGCATTTTATTTCACTAAAAATGTCACATCGTAATTTATACAGGGTGGGCCAAAAAATGCCACTTTTTTTCAAGCCACTATAACTTTTTTATTTTCCAACCTACATACCCCAAATTTTGCAGTTATATAGTGCCAAGGGTTCTTAGTAATAATATAATGTAACAAGTCCTTCAACTGGGATTATATTTGATCTAAAAGAGGAGTTCAATTGGTCCGTCACCCCATTTGATGATAGATTTTAGTTTTAGTCGCCTTGCTGATATAGCAGTACCAATGAAATGTTAGCTATATTTTTTTCAACGTGTCTTAATTGCCAGCTTTAGTTAAGCAATTTTAAGATTGGGTGCCTTCATACCATCTCCTGGAGACCTCCCCATACAATATACTCACTTGGGTTTGAATTAGGGCTATTAGCTTGTGGTCATCAGGGCGTATCAGTTTAGTAACATTATGCAAATTATGCTTATTTATAATGGCACACCACATGGTTAAGTGAGAACTGGTGACATATTTTATTCAAGTAAAAGTGTATAATTCATGATCAATGGCTAGATAACAACCTCAAGTTTCATTTGGTATGTAAATTATGATTTTGTATCAAAAATTAAAAAGTTATAGCATTTTGAAAAAAAAAGTGGCGTTTTTTTTGGCCCACCCTGTATAATTTAAGAGACAAATAATTAGGTGTAATAAGTGCCATATAGTACTTACAAGGTCTGCTTTTACAGATGGTCTCTTGGCTGGACCAGTAGGTTTGGGATTTTTCTGGCCTGGCTGGGTGACAGTAACCTGCTTTGGCCTGCTGGGTTCTAATGTAGCACCTATAGACCCTGTACTGGCTTTCTTTTCCTGAAAAACATGTGAAACAGAAAATTTTAAGAAGTGAAGTCAAACGAATGCAAAGGGTAAGCAATGTACATTTTATATTTTCTTCTATTATAGGTTCTAGTCAGCCTTTACTTTATTTGGAAGAGAGTAGATCTCTCAGAAGCATTATTTAAAGGTGATATCGGAATAATTCTACCTTATTTTGAGTATTGTTCTGAAAGTTCTTTTGAAGAAATAATAATATGCATATATGAAACTGAGTACAAATGAATAATTTTACCAACTAATATAAAATATTATCAAAGGGTACCCAAATTATTCCCTCTAACAAACAATGTCTGTTAAAGCATAGAGAATCAGATTTTGACGACTGAAATGTTCATTTATATTATAATTTTATAACTAAAATTGATTTGCAGCAAAATGCAGTAAATCAAAATATATACCTTGCTCATTTATAGATGTCAAAAGGTAAAATATCAAAAATATCCTTTAGAAAATCTATTGTAGTTTGTTGTACATTTGCATGTACATGTAATATCAAATCCTTCTTAGGCTAGATTTTATTATATATACCCATATATGGCATCTTATATACAGCCTTGAAATGCTTGGCCTCCTTTTATGTACAAATTATTGATGTTAACGGAACTTTAACTATAAGAATGTCCTATTGCTCGCTTCAGTCTTTAGTGTCAACTACATCTCTTATGCAATGAATGCAGGCACACTGTTTATATACCAGTGTATATACTTACATAAGCTTATCAAATGTCAAATATAATTTAGTAAAAATTACATAATCCATGACAAATTACAAATAAATAGTAGCAAGACATTCTGCCCCTAGATGTTTAAACCCAAAGGTATATTATATCTCCTCGTGGATAACCTACTGAATGTTTCAACTTCCTATACATGTTACCCTGGATGTCTCCAAGGCAACATACAACATGACAATATTATATCTTAAGTTATCAGCAAGGAGGATTGGCTCCCAGGATCGAAACTCGATATTTTCCAACAATGAAAACGTCGAAATGTCGTTATTTTCTGAAATTAAAACCGACTATAAATTCAAAATAAACAGTTCAAAAGATTCGAACCAATATCTCGATCATTTCTTGTGAGTTTTGGAATTTTTCGTTTGGAAATAAGACCAAAATTCACGATTTAAATGTTGAAGTGAACAAAATGGCGGCTGTTTGAATTCGAATTTTGTATTACGACATACCCATATATGGGACAGAATATCGGTGGTGCACTCTGGGAGCCAATCCTCCTTGAGTTATCAGCTAATTTGAATAACATTTAAATGTTCAAATTTTCAACTAAGTTTAATATAATATTCAATAATATTTCAACTTGGTAAAAGGTTATTTTCAAATCCACAACTAGGTGCAACATAATATTCAAATTCAACTAGGTGCAAAGTAACTATATAATGTTGAATTTCAACTGAATGAAAAGTAATTTTCAAATCCTAAATATAAAAATGCAGTATAATATTTAAATTTTCAACTTGGTAGAAGGTCTTTTTCAAATCGTTGACTAAGGTAGGTGCAACATAATTTTTAAGCTTTCAAGTGGGAATAGTACTCAATGGAGGTGTTTCAAAGTTGAAGCGTGCCAAGGTTAGGTTAAGAGTAACCTCTGAATAATTGTGACAACAGTTCAGCAGCCCATCACAGCCCAGGTCATAAATTCCAATCAACCGCACTGACATTTCCTCAACCAATCAGTGAGCAGAAAGAAACATGGGGTTTCTCTTACACTTATAGAGGGTAGGAGAAACTATCTTTTAAGAAGCTAAGTCAAATAAATGTGAAGGATAAAAGGAAATTTAAAGTGCAACAGTATCTATATTTAGAGATGATGGATAAAATATAAAAAAAAATATAGACAGGTGCATACTGAATTTCTTTTGGATGGATCACATTGATATGACATAATAACCTGACTTAATAAAAGATAATGTACGATGTAACCCATACCTTGTGAGGTTCTAGAAAGACATAACATTCGGGAATGTGTATCTAGGGAGCATTATAGATATCTACATGTACCCATACTGTCATCTATAACTGCAGTCCCTCAGGGGATACATATATTTCCCTCGGGAGAAACTTTGTATCCTAAACCTTCCACTACATAGCCCTTGTATATGTAGTAGTATGCCTGCCATCGAACTCAAATGTCACGTGTCGACAGTCAAACTTTACTGAATGTTGTCGACAATCAAACTTACAACTCAAAAATACTAGTAGTAGAACTATTTGATTCATGAACGCGTAGTAATATATAGGGCGGTGTTATGATTGGGATATAGTTCAAGATATGAATACAGTTACGCAAACATGTGTACCAATAAATGAAACAAGTATAAATTTTACGAATAATAACAATTTATCGTGTACTGGTTATAAACCCAAAGTATTTCCACAAGTCAGTCATTTTATAAGTCATTATTAATAAGAACATAAACCGAGGAAATTGTTCCAATAATCATTTCCGGTAGTTAGATTGCGCATCATGACATACTTACATTTGAAAATGAGAAAAATCATGAAAAATTGGCATATTTTGACAAATTTTGGTCTAAATTGTGAAAATGAGAATTTTGCACCAACCTGAGAAAAACCCCGGGAGATCACTGCAAGGCAAGTAAAAAATCACTAATTATCGCCTGGAAGTTTATATTGTTTTTAATCGATATGACGGGATTGTTGTCGACTTCGTTGTTGAACTTTCATTTTGACTGACAAGTCGACATTCCGACTAATAATGGCAGGCCTATATATTTGTAAAAATACAGCATATCAAATGAGCAAGCAAACCAAGATGTAAATATTACAATCTTCCTTACCTTTTCCATCATGTATAACACTTCAGTTGCAGCCATTATTGTTCCCTGGTTTCTCGCCTTACTTTTTACAATGACCAAATTTTTGTCAACAAGTCCAACTTCAATGTATTTTGCAGTATTATTATCAGGCCAAGAATGTTAGACCTCCCAGTGTGTTTCTATGAAGTAGATTGTTTAAGCAAAACAATCATTATCCAAACTTTCGTTTACAAAATAGCCAGTTTATATTATAAACCTGGCCCAAAATGAATCCAAAAAGTTGTGTTATGTTAGTAAAGGGCTGTGCAGAATGAAAATATGTAGAGCCCTAGATGTCCAGATTTAGAGTTATGTGAATATATTCCAGAGAGCACTTTATTCTACAGCTAACTGCTCCAGTTAAGATATTCTATAAAATACATTGAGATAAGAGAGTCACATTACATTGTAAGCTGTGAAGGTCCAACATAGAGCAACTTGACCCTACATTCCTACCATACCACATTGACACCACCAGCTCTTCAAAACAGTCAATTCTCTACATACAGTCAATCCCAGTCTATGTATTAACACTATCCAATATACTCACTGATCCAAGATGCATATTCCAAATGTGAAAGTATTTGAATTGCAAGATATTTATCTTTAAACTGATACATCATGTTTCATTATATTCCTTCCACAATCCTCTCTATTTCTACTATTTCACAAGGGATAATCATCTACTAACTACGTCAAAGTTTACTTTTTACAATATATTAACACACAATAACTACAGGTTGTTTTAAGTTGCTATGAACCTTGACCTCATACCAATGTTTCTTAATTGTAACACTTTCAAGTTGATAAAAAAATTCCTCACACTTTACAACTCAGTTAGTAGATTATTTCTGGCGTTTATTTCAAGTATATAACTATTAAAAGTTTTCAGCTTTTACTCATCTTTCAGTCAATGTTATTTGTAACCTCTATAAATATAGAAACCTGGGAAAGTGGGAATGAATATATCCATGATGCATCATCAAATACCATAAATAAATGTTGTTTACATACAACAAAAGCAGCAAAACAAACTGAATTTAAAACACATTCCAAGCATTAATCATCAACATATCATAAATGGCCATCTAAAAATGAAATATTTTCTTTTGATCTTGAGTTACATATAGCCAGTGTAGTATGCAGAGTTGTAGCCAGCTACATATTTGTGGTAAATCATGAGATGCTTTCTCCCACTAACTTTCAAGCTAAACTGTCTAAAAGAGTTCCTCCCAAAATGTACCTTACGTTATCTATTCAGTACTCAGTGGTTCAGATACAGATATATACTCATTTTACACCTATACCCAAGTCACTACATCTAACATTGAGAAACTCAATGGGAAACCTCCATATTTAATGATAAAACAAAGACAATATGGGAACCACCAAGGCACAAGCCAATGCCAAAATGCCTAAATATTTTGAAAAATAAAATAACATAATCAATGGTAGTTCACTTGCATCACTGTGTTCTTCAATCAAATCAATGTTTCTGATTTAATTATTATTTATTTTTTTATTTTATTTATATTTGAAGACAGAGTACCATTACTTATTTTAATAATGCATTTAACAGTAATTGACAGTGACCCAAGCTGCCCTATGGTGAGTCAGTTGCTGGTCAATTTGAGACTGTCTAAAGGTTAAACAATAATTGAACCATTCATTAATATTCTTGAATTCAATTAATATAGCAATACTTTCAAGTGATCAAATATTGCGAAATCCCACATTAGGCAGTCATTTTGGATTTTTCAAAGCAAGAATCAAAATTTGAAACAGTAATATTTATTACTTTGGTTGAAAATCAAAAACTTAGATTTTCAAGAAAAAATTCATGTTTTGCCATTATCAATACATGTGTATATCATAAATTTTATTTTAAAATTTCAAAATACAACTAAATAGAGTATGTAACAGAAAAATACTGTATATTATACAAACATTTTATGTTTTCTTAACTTTTTTTTATTATGAGACTTGGTATATGTGACTCTTTTGTGTTATATGTTACAATATTTCCTTTCTGACACCTTCTCCCACCACTAATCAATTAAAATAATAACTGGAATATAACAGATTCATATATCAAGGAAACTAGGAAACCACAGAAATAAACCACAAGTAAAGAGAT